GGTCCAACCAGCCCTGCTGTGCTGTGTGTCCTGCCAGGAGCCCAGCCTTTGTTGCTTTGAGGCAGGGGGCACTGGAGCCCGGGGTTACTGGGAGAGGGACAGGCCTGTGTAAGTGCCTCTGGAGAGCGCTGCCGTGTTGCTGTGCGCTGCTGAGGGATGGAGTTTGCTGTGCGGAGCTCAGTGGGAGCTTTGCCACTGTCTCAGCTGGGGCTGGGATTTCAACGTGACGTCTGGGAGTTTCTTGTGCCCAGGAGAATATTTCAACTACTTAAGGACACAAACAATAAGGAGCTCATAAGAACATACCTCTAGTAAAGGCTGTGTTGTACTGGTGGCAATCATCTAAGGTTAGATTTTAGAGAGATGAAACCATGTGGAAAATAAACCTCGGCGAAGTGTGGGTGGAGCTGGTTGAGCAGCAGCATGTTAATGCTGAGCTGGAACCGAGCGTGCCGGGTTCATCCTGACCTCTCCACACAAGCATGTTGCTGGTGAAACGAGGGCTCAAATTGGCCACAGTTAGTCCCAAAGAGTTTTGTTCTTTGTGAAGTACTGCATCATCCGTGCAGTCAGAGGTTTGCTATTTGAAGGCATGTAGTCGTGCTCTGGCTGTGTGTCCTGCCAGTATTGTCCTCGCTGGGGAAGGGGTGAGACGAGCAATCCAAGATAGGAAAAAATGAGGTTCACCCTGATCTGCTGGCCAACATGTCTGCATCAGCCACCACTGCTCTGGAGCCTGGGGAAAGGCAGAGGCGCGCCTTGCTGCACCCTTTGGTGGCACGCCGGTGGGTCTCTGCCTGCGGCCCCACTGTATGCAGGGCTGGCTGTGCTGTGGGATCTGGAGGCCCACAGCCAGCGCCCTGAGCACCAACCTGTGCAGAGCCTGCTGCCCCGAGGGCAGGGGAGCGCTCCCCAAACCACGTCAGCAGCGCTGGGTGCAGCTGCTCTGTGTCTCAGCAGGGTCCTGCCGTTCATCCCGTGTGCTGCTGCAGGGCCTTTGTTTGCCAAGGAATTTTGTTTTCTCCAATATCCCTGCTGCTGCATTTCAGCAGAGCCGAGGAAATAATTTTCTGCCTCTCATCCTGCTTTGTAAATAGCAGGAGTGCTCCTACTGGAAACTGCTTTCATATAAAGAGGACCAAACAAAACTGGAAAGAAAAGCAGCAAATGGTGAAAGCTGATTGCCCAGCAGAGTTTGAGGGAACTTGAGGAACTGTGTTGTGCACTGGTTGCAGAACAGCTCATCTGGGGGTTAATTGGCACTGTGTTTTTGTGTATTTTGAGTCAGACCAGCTCGTGTGGAAACGGGACCAGCCGTACGAGTTTCTGCCATGCTTTGCTTTCTCCTGCATTAATTCCAGCCCAACCCTTAATTTCATTTTTTGCTGCGAACCTTTCACATGTAGAATGCAGCAACACCCCTGCAGGCCGGTGTCCTGCTGGGCTCCGTGTGGTGGCTGCAGGTGGCTGCCCTGTGCCACGCGTGCTTGGCGGTGCTCCGTCAGTGCCGGTGCTGTGCTGGAGCTGTGGGCAGGTGTCTGTGTCAGGAGGAATGGGCCGCAGAGCTCAGACCAGGGGAAAAGTAGCAAGAGAGGGAATGGAAAAGATTGGAGAAGCTTTGTTGGTATTCTTTGTATCTCTGCGCGTTGCCATATCTGTTAAGGGCTGTTCAAGAAAGCACCTCAGGCTGTAATTCTCTATGAAGAGAGAGCTAGGGATCAGAATTGTGTTTAAAAAAAAAAAAAAAAAAAAGAAAAACAACACAAAAACAAACCTCTACCAAATGGGCTCAGCAGAGCAGAGAGCTGTGAAGCAAGTCCTGCATTGGCAGCAGTGGGAGTGGGAATGTGAAATCCGTGTGGGGTGTAATGGAACTTCCACTGACCTTGTGTGGGAAGGAAGCTCTCATCAACACGGAGTGTGAAGGCTTTAACAGCGGTTTGTTAGGAACTGGTACTGCTGCGTCCTGTGGGAACATACTGGGGGTTTTTAGGAGGCTTAATTCAAGGCAGCTGCTCCTTGCCCAGCAGTGCTGGTGGGTGGCAGCAGCAGCACCTGGTGGATCCTGGAGCACCTGCTGGCACTGTGTGGCTGTCCCTGGGGTCCCCCAGCACCAGCTCCTGAAGGAGCAGAGCTGCCATGTCCACCTGCGTGGCCTCTGCAGAGCCTTGTCAGCACACTCGCTGTTTCCAAGGTGCTTTGTATTTTTAGGTGACCTTTGTGCAGCCTCTGGTCCTGTTAGTGCTGCTGTCCAGTTAAGCAGTGATGAGGTTGATGCAGGTGTCCTTGTTCACACCTCAAAGCTCACCTGGCAGGCTCTGACAGGCCCTGTGTTTCCTATCAAGAGGAGATGCTGATAAACAACAGTGCCTACAGTGGCAGCTGGAATCTCCTCTGTGTGGGATCCTTGCTCAGTGAAGGAGCTCAGAGCTGTCTGTGACTCATCTCTGGTTTCCGTTGGTGCCTTGTGTGGTGACTGATCAAGAAATTATCAGTTCAGCGTTCAGTGTGGAGTAAGGGTTGGGCAGGACGGCGCAGTGCCGTGGCCATAGGGCTCTGAGCCCTGCAGGCTGCTGCCGCACTGGGGCCACACATGAGCAAAGTGTTCCGCAGGCAGGCGCGGATGAAATGAGAGCATCACTGACCTTCAGAGCAGCAACCAGACAGCTCTGCAGGTCAGGTTCGGTGTGTTTTGACAAAAAGCAAGTTTTTGATGTGAGACTGGTGAATGGGATTTTCCGGTTCTCATTTTGTTTGCTTTGTTGCACTTTGAATTGAGGGGGACTTGCTCCAGGGTGCTCAGATGGCCCTCTGTGTGTAGCTGTAACTTACCCTGCTTTTTCTCCCTCGTGTGTCCCCAGAGATCCGCACACAGCTGGTGGAGCAGTTCAAATGCCTGGAGCAGCAGTCGGAGTCGCGCCTGCAGCTGCTGCAGGACCTGCAGGAGTTCTTCCGCAGGAAGGCCGAGATCGAGCTGGAGTACTCGCGCAGCCTGGAGAAGCTGGCCGAGCGCTTCTCCTCCAAGATCCGCGGCTCCCGTGAGCACCAGTTCAAGTAAGTGGGCATCACGGGGTGGAGGGGAGCTGAGCACTGGGCTTGAGCGGGTTTCTGTAGTTGCAGAGTCCGAAAGTGCATTAAACTGAGTAGCGTTGGCCCTTGTCCGTGTCACCACGGTGTGGAGTTCACAAAGAGCCAGCAGCATCACACACCTTTTCTGCTGGGATGGGATTTGCTGCGCGCTTCTTTGAGCGGTAGAACAGAAGCTGAGGTCTGGCTGAGGAGGTGTGCAGCCCTGGCGTTGTTCTGTGGGAGGCCCAGGTCCATCTGTGGGTTTGGTGGTGCGCACAGCGCCGGCCCTTTTGGTCTGTGGATGTCAGAATGCACCACGCTGTGATAGAGCTGCTTTCTGGCTTGGGAGCAGCTTGTGGAAATGTAACTTATTACGCTTCTTAAAAATGAAATATGTATGTTTTCTGTGTAAATATTTTAAAACAAAGCTTTGCAATAGGAAATACAAACTGAATCTGGAATAGTGTGAAACTCAAACTCATGGTGAAAACTGAAGAATCCTTGAATGTGTGAATATGTGCAAGTTTCCAACAGCAGCCTCTCTTGAGAATAAGCATACTCTCAAATATGGATGGAACAAGATAAATCAAAAAACAAAACAAGCAAAAAAAGAACTTGAGGAGGGGATGTTCTGTGTGCCTGCAGGGGATGGAGCTGGGGGTCCTGGGAGCAGTGCTACTGTGCAGCGGCCCTGCGTGCTGGCACCACACAGCCATCCCTGCACCGAGCTGACGTTCCTCGCCTTGGTCTCCCAGAGCACTCATCTCTGATGGCTGTGTCCCTGAATTCAGTGGGCAGCTCGTGCCTTTTGCTGAAGGTGAACCAGGTGTCATTCAATCCATAGGCCAGTGAATGTGGCCATTTTCCTAGGAAGTACAGGTTTTGCCTGTTAGGTGCACTTAGCCTCACTAATCCCCAACTCTTCTCAATCTCTCTATAACCTCCTGTGATTATTTTTTCCCCTTTCAACTGCAAGAACAGCAATTTCTGCTGTTACATTACTAAATCCTATTTATTCCATATTAGTAAATCCCATTTAATCTGTTTACTCGGTCTCTCTGGTGAGCAGGGGTTTGTAGTTGACTCGCACAGAACTCTGCTCACAGGGAGTTGCTGTTTTGTGCTGCCTCTCAGCCGTGCGATGCCGGGTGGGCAGCTGGGCAGGGCCAGGATGGGAGGCAGCAGGCTGTGCAGGGTGCCTGTGCCTTGGTGCTGCCAAGGGTGCTGGGGCACGACTCCGTTACGTGTAGGACAGGTGCTCGTGCTGCGAGGTGCCTGCAGGTGACAGTAGTTTCTGCTGCTTTGCAGTGCTCAGGCACTGGCAGGGTCAGCTCTGCAGTGCGTGCTGCCGTGCTGCTCTGCAGGAACGCTGTCACCGGGGAGGCAGTGCAGGCGGAGGGCTGGCACTGTTAGGGCTGGCTGTGTTAGCTCCTTGTCTGGAGGCTCTCCGTGCATCGCAGTTGGACAGTGGAAGTGCTCTATTTCAGATGTGTCGTTTTGAAAACTTCAGTTCACTTTATTTGCCATTTATACTAAGTGTAATACATAGAAAAGGGAAAGGGAAGAGACAAGAAGAGAAGCATGTCCCCACACTCTGGGGACAAACAGTGGGTATTAATGAAAACTGGGAGACTGTTGTCGCAAAGCCCTTGCCCTCCCAATACCATGAGTACTGAGCAGTGGGTGCGGGCGTGCAGAATGTCAGCACTGAAGGCTGTGCTCCGGACCATGCCAAATTCCAGCTGGTGTGTGCTGTGCAAGAAGGGCTGACAGCATTCCCTGGAAAACTGCGTGCCTTCCTGCCTTGTCCCATTCACCCTTCTGCTTTTGTTTTTTTATTCCCCTAGGAAGGATCAGCACCTCCTCTCCCCAGTGAACTGCTGGTACCTGGTGCTGACGCAGACCCGTCGGGAGAGCAGGGATCACGCCACCCTGAACGACATCTTCACAAACAATGTCATCGTGCGGCTGTCGCAGATCAGCGAGGATGTCATCAGGCTCTTCAAGAAGGTAGCGCTGCTGTGCGGGGAGCTCTGTGCTGTGGGGACCTGTCCTTAGGTTTTAGTTTGGAAATATATGTATGCATTGTGGACTTCTACACAAACGGGAGGCTTTTTCGAGGATGGAGGATGAATCTACTTATTGGGCGTTTGATTTTTTGAGACTGTGCTTAGCCATATTTCTGGCTTAGCACTACAGAACCCCGTGTAAAGTCCTAGTGTAAAGGCAAGCTTGAGACCAGTTGGAGAACACCATGTGTTTGTCGTCCTGGACCAGCACAGCAGCAGGCTTTAGCAGGCAGAGAAGCAAAGTTGTGCCCAGAACTACAGCAGAAGTGTTGGTGTCCGGGTACAAGCTGTTATCTCTGCCCCATGGTTCTTTGGGTAGGTGTAGGAAAGCACTGGTAAAAGCTAGAGGAAGCAGTGAGACTTTAAATACGTGTCTCAACTCAGTGAGAAAACCAGAGAGGAGCTGGAACTCTTGAACATCAAAATGTAACGCCAGAGTAAGGCAGCCAAATAAAATTCTGAGGCAGTTTGCTAAAGACATAAAGCTAATAAAAACTTCTCTAAAATCAGAAGAAAGAAAAGGGACACAGGATGTGAAGGAGAATAGATGTTTGAAGTACAAAAAGAGCAGGAGGTAACAGCCAAAGGCTGCCTGGCTTCGTCTGGGTGCCTGGAATGGAAATGTGTGGAGATCTGCTTGGGGGCAGGGAAGCAGCACCAGCTGCAGGAACCTCTCCCAGCCGAACCTCCAGTGGATGTTTTAGAGCAAACCGACACAAGGGCCTGTTGCTTAGAATTCTTTCCAGATACTCTTTGTTCAAGAGTTTTAAAGAAATGAGATATAAAGCTCTGAAGTGACAAGCAGTGACGTGTGACCTAATGCTGAAACTGGCGTCAGTGCTGGAGAAACGAAGGGTGGAAAATGTGACGACGACTTTTTTTGTTTAAAGACTCCTGGAGGGCTTCAGAGAGCAGAATAGCAATCTGACTTTAAAAACAGACTGGTTGGTTGAAACTTCAGTAAAGAGCAGGATTACAGATGTACAGCCAAGTACAACCAGGGGGAGCGAGTGTGGCTTTCTGAAGAGGAAAGTCATGCCTTGGAAGCCCGGTGGAAGTGTTTTTGGGAGTCAGTGATCACGAGAGCAGGTTGGCATGGTACCTTCAGTGTCTTACAGCCTTTAGAAAAGGCTCTCGCTGAAGTTCTTGAAGAAGAGTTGTTGAGGAATAAGGAAAGAGCTTTTGTGTTCTGCATGAGTGGCTGATTGAAGACAGAACCAGAGAAAGGGGAATTTTAGTGGAGTTTGTAATCATTTGGAAAAAGGACAAGCAGCAGGCTGACAAAGTCTGCTGAAAGGAGAAGGTGACAAGGAAAGACTTTTTATGCTGTTATTACTACGTGTATTTTATGACATTTGCGCTATTCTGGGTGATATTACTTTTGGAAGCTGTGTGGGTAACCTGAGTCCTCAGGCGGTCAGAAGGGCTTGTGAAGGAGTTGTGTCCATCACTGCTGCTGGCAGTGGGGCACGGCCTGCGCTCTGGGCTCGTGGCCTGCAGCTCCTGGGGCTCCCGCACTGCCCGGCCCTGCGCTGGGCCGTCGCTCCGACACTCTTAATGCTGCAACTTGTTTTCAGTGGGTGGGTGGAGAATTGCAGCTCAAGGAGCAGGGCAGGGGCTGTGGGATGACTCCAACAGGAGCAGCGTTCTGAAGTCTGGTTATCTTGAAATTTTAGCCCAGCTGGAGAGTAAATGAAACATGATGCTTTTATGACTAGTTTCCTCCTCCTTATGGATCTGACCTAGGAATTAGGCCGCAAGGGCAGGTTTGGAGTTGTTCTGATGAGAGATGTCATCCCTTTTCCAGTCCTGGTTAATTCTAAGCTGTCACAATCTCCCTCCCATTTTCTTGTTACCCCGAACTCGGTTTTGAGCCATGTGGAGTCTGTCCTGCCTTCAGCAGGCTGCGGTGGCGTGCATCACTGCAAACCACAGGACAAATCCAGCCGCCGCTCACGTGAGGGTATGGATGTTGGAAGCATTTTTCTCGTGGTAATTCAGTCTTCAGCCAGGTGAAGATGAAGAATTTCATCCTTTTGATGGAATTATTTCTTAGTGTTTGTTTTTCCTCCATCTCCTTACGCTGTATGGAAATTCTTGCTCCTTACTTTTTCCTCCCCCGTCTTTTGCTCAGAGAGGTGAAGTAGCAGCAGCTCTGTCTGCAGCCTGCCAAAGCCAGTGCCTGCTTTTAATCAGAGGGAAGCTTTGCAATTGAGTCCCGGGGATCTGTGATTTCACTTGCATTTGTCCCTGGAGGCTTAAATTGTAGCAGGACTCGCATGTCCTTGGGAGTAGTGATCAGCTCAGTCACCAAAAGGGTGTTTGATGTCATCGTTTGTCCTTAATGGGGTTAGGGAGGTTGACTTTTTGGGGTATCATACAATGGCTTAGGTAGGAAAGGACCTTAAAGATCATCTCATTCCAACCCCCCTGCAAGGTTGCTTTCTTAACCTGCTACATACTGTGCTCGAAGTGGAATATGGGGCTGCCTTCTGTAGCAGTGCTTGGTGGAGAAGCACGTCTGTGGGAGTAAGAGCATCCTGATAAAAGGCTTGTTAGACATCAGGTCCAGCCTTGCAGCTGGTGCTAGATTGCTCAGAGCAGGTGTCCTTCAGTATTTCATCTGATCTGGTTTTGAGTATGAGTAAAGATCATGGGACACTGCTGGTGACACTGCCATGTGGGTGCAGGACGAGCAAGCCAGCTCCAAAGGGTTAAAGGCAGCCACAGATGTGGTTCAGCTGCTTAGTTTTGCTGCAGATTGCTCTTTGATGGTAAATTAAGGTAACATTATTTTCCAGAGATGTCACTTTTAATTCCTCCCATCTAGAATTTATTAATGGATTGTGACATGCTGCGGTTACACGGAGGAACTGGAAGGTTTTGTTTTGTGCTTTCATTATGTAAATGTAAACAATTGCTGCGAAGCAGCAGCTACATAATATCTGGGGTGTGAGGATGTGCATAGTCGAGAAGCAATTGATCACTGCCATGGTAATTTGCCAATGGAGGTGCTGAGTGCTGAGCTGATCTGCCCAGACTGCTCTGTGCCTCGCTCAGCTCCACTCTCCCACGCTGTACCCCAGGTGCCCCGCAGCCCTTCCAGCAGCTGCCGGGGCTGCTGTGTCCCTTCCATGTTTTCCACAGCTGGATTGCTTCCTCTTGGCTTTGTAAGTGATGACTTCTTTACTTTGAAAGTAAGGAGGAAGCCTTGCAGGGAAAAATGCAACCCCTCCCCTCATTGTCCGCTGCTTTTTAATATCGCAGAGCGCTGTGAAGTAGGGGAAGAAGAGCCTGCAGCCCTGGGGGAGCTGGAACTTGGTGAGGGCTTGCTTTCAGGACAGTGCTGGTGGCATTCAGGGTTTTGATGAGGTTTGGTGGGATGGAACATGAGGCATGTTGTGCAGCTGGGATTTGAAACTCCTCCTCCCGGAGAACCTTCGTAGAGCTGCAGCATGTATAAAGGCATTGCTGGAAACAGAGCAGAGAACATTGATGCAGGGACACAGCGCTGAGGCAGCACTGCTGGTCTGAACTGTGCTGCAGTGCTCCCAGGCCAGGCTGCTGTTACGCACTGTGGCAGTGTGCTCGTGTCCCACAGGGTCCAGCTGGAGGTGTAGTGAAGCGGTGTCTGTCTGGAAGGAAGCTCCTTTCTGTTTCTTGAAACAAGAGCTCTTTGTTGCTGGCATTGTGTTGCTTCTTCCTGCTACTTTGTCTTCAGCACAGGAACTTGGGCAAACCTGCAAAGCCAAAGTTACTGCTGTTCCACTGAGAACTCCTTTGGTTGAAGTGACTGGCATAAAGCAGCAGCTAAATTGGGGAATGGTGCCTGACAGTTCAGCCACTGCATGGCATTTTGGCTTTGTTTGCAATACATAAACACCAGTTTTCTATTACAGAAAGGGCAGACAGCAGGATTGGGACAGGTGAGGTGAATCTGTCAGCTCTCACCTGCCCATGTCCGGGAGAGGCTCTGATGCTATTGGGCCAAGTGCTGCTCACCCTGGTCCCCATCAGTTGGCTGCAGGGCTCTTGGGTACTGTCTGCACAGAAGTAGGTCTGTAAACACAGTGCACACCTGTGGTCCCTCCACGGCAATGAGACTCATGTGGACAGGAACCGAGCCATTTCTTTGTGCTCTATTTAAATGTCTAAAATTAGCTTTGAAAATGATGGCTTTGTGGGCTCCCCCTGGGCTGCACAAGAAAGCAAGGACAGTGGCTACAGCTGGGCCATTGGCTGTGGGAAGAGCTCGCTTTGGGACCCAAGCTCTAGTTCCTGCAGAGGAGGGGCAGCTGGAAGTGCTGGGTGCCCCTGCCCTCATCTTCTGCACGCTTGGGACTTGGGGTCCAACAGGCCTCCGTGCAGATCCCTGCTGAAGCAGCTCACGTCCTGGATGCTCCCTGCGATGTGGTGGTGCCTGCTGCTGCTGGCTCTGGTGCTTGCTCCGAATGAGAGTCCCAAGACCAGGCAGTTGAGGGTGGGGGCAGAGGGGCTGGGGCTTCTCAGCAGCTGTCCAGGCACTCAGCACCTCCTGCTAACTGCCCTCTGCTTGGTGCTGCAGTTTGAGCAGGAGCTGCGTGTCAGAGCTGGCTGTGGAGGGCCTGAATTCCAGTACTGTGGTGCTGGTTCCCAGGTAGCTGCAGTGACCTGTGACACTGTGTGCCCTTATCCTGTACTTTCCTTGCTTCACTCTTCGCATTAAATTCTAATTATTGATAATCTGACGTTAAACTTGTAATGTATATAGGTTTTCCAGTTGGCTTTCATGAGAATTCTGTGTCTTCACTCAGCCAATGGGATGGTTTTGCCTTATATGCAAGATGCATGGAGTTATTTGAGGAATCTGAAATAAACTGTTTTTTTTTCTTTCTTAACTTGCCGTCTTTGTTTTGTGTTTTGAAGGGGAATCTGCACTTAGTTTAAACATATCTTCAAGTTATAATTAATGTTTCCTAGCCAAGAAGATTCCACGGAGAGATTTGTGGTATAATTACAGGGGAGACAGAGAGCAGCAGCCGTGCAGCTGCACAGCACCCACTGCTGCGTTTGGGTGCAGCCCCCCAGGTGCTGCTCTGCTCCGTGCTGGGGGAGCGCAGCACCGCAGGAGTAGATGGGCTCAGTGGGAGGGGGTGGAGAGAAAGAGGCCGTGGGCTTCAAAGCTCACAGTGAGCTTTATCCTGAGCTTGCTGAACTTTGGCTGTTGTGGTTGTGAAGTTGGAAACTTCATTATGTAACTGTGGTGCAGTCATTTCACAATGCTGTGGCCAGCTCAGGTCAGAGCAGTGACAGTGAGCGCTGAGGGCAGAGCAGGGATGCTGGCTTATGGCTGCTGTGACAGCAAAACGTGAAGTGTTTGGGCTGAGAGTCCTGATAATTCTTATTCTGAAGCACAGAGTTGGCCATCTGGCAGCGGGTGTCTGTACTAAACCTGTCAAATCAAAGTAGAGTGGCAGGTGATGCTACAGCTGAGGAGTGCAAACAGAGGCAGTTAGGGTACCCACAGGTGTTTGCTTTTGTTATACAGGGCAGTTAGCGTGGTGCTGACATGGCTGTGGGAGTGCAGCACTCAGCCACATTCAGTTATGGGGTTTTGTCGAGAAATAGGCAGTGGAGCTGTGATGCACTGCTCTGGCTGTGAGGCAGCCCTGCTTCCCTGCTGGCTGCAGCCTGTGTGTGGAGCAGGGCACGTGGTGTTCCCAGTGGGCTGCTGGAATTCCAGCTCCATCCTGGGCTACTGCACGATGATAACGGAATGGTGTGTGCTGATCTGCATTATTGTCTTGGAAACTGGGGTTGGGTGATGCATGGACCAGCACAGACCTCAAATAAAAGGGCAGCAGTTCCCAAACAGCATGAGGATTTGCTGTACTGTGTGTGTTCGTGTTTATACGTTCTGTTTTGTTAAGGATTTGTAGCAAATTAAAGCAGCATTTTGATTTCCCTTATTTCTAAATGTCGCTGTCATGGGCAGACTGGAAGAGGAGGCCATCTGTATTTTGGTTTTAATATTTAGAGATGGAAAAAATGGAGCCCAGCTGTGGGCCGGCAGCCCCATTGATGCTGCCTTTGCAGCTTCTGGAGCAGGAAGGACATTAGACAGGGTTTGTGCAGTGTTGTAAATAAGGCCCCTGAGGCATTTCTCATGCTGTGAAGCCATTTCATTTTTAAAAATAATATCTGTACTTAAAATGTGCCGTTGTTTTTTAACTCTGCTGCAGAGCAAAGAGTGGAAAAGCCTTGTGACAGGCAGAGGAGTGGTGCGGGCAGATCTCTGGGGGCACAAGGCATGAAGAAAGGCATTTCCAAACCCAGCTGTGCTGCTAAGGTCCACCCACTGTACTGAGAAATGAAAGAAGGAAAGGAAAACCCTGCAGGCATGATAGCAATGTGAAAAATGCAGATAGATATCAGCGGCCTAAATACGTTGCTATGTTTTGTTCTCTGTGGAATGGGTGTGAACGCATTTCCAGGAGATGAGCAGGGCTCTCTTGGACACGGGAGCTGGGAGGCCTGGAACAGATGCTTCGTGCCTCACTGCTCTTGGGTTCGCCACGCAGTTTACAAAGGCAGAGGAAAACAATTCCTGCTTCCTGGCCAGCTTCCCTGTTTGTGGGCCGTGTACTTCTGCAGAGGCAGTGCTCCTCCATTGCTCCTTACTGCTTGAGTTTGCTACTATGAGGATGGTGAGGTGCTGGAACAGCTGCCCAGAGAGGCTGTGGATGCCCTGTCCATCCCTGGAGGTGTTCAAGCCAGACTGGATGGGGCCCTGGGCAGCCTGGGCTGCTGTGAAAGTGGAGGTTGGTGGCCCTGCATGTGGCAGGGGGTTGGAGATTCATGATCCTTGAGGTTCCTTCCAACCCAAGGCATTCAGGCCACTGTGTGCCTCGGCTTGATGAGTCGGAGAAGGCTGTCAGCTCAGCTCACCTCCCTGGGGCTGGGCACTCCTGTGGGCCCCGTTTTCTCGCTCTGTCTCATGACACCATTGGGTGCCAAGGCCCCAGATCCCACCATGCACACACTGGTGGCTCGCTGCTGCCAGCCCTGCTGACTGCTGGCCCTGCAGGGCTCTGGTGCCGTGGTGGTGGGCCTGGGAAATGTGCTGGCAGGAGAGGATTGAAAGAGGTGTGTGTGGAATATTTTAAAGTCCTGTGATTTTACTCTCCCTCCAAAATGTATTTTGCTTTCAGAAATGCACATTGTGAGCATGACAGTGTCAATTCTTATTCTTTTTGTCTTCCAGAGTAAGGAAATTGGCTTACAGATGCATGAAGAACTCCTGAAAGTCACCAACGAGCTGTACACGGTAAGCGTGGACTCCTGGCTCTCACGCTGTGTGCAGTGCAGGAGCACAGCAGTGTGACTGTCAGAGCAAACTGTCTATCAGGCTCTGCAGGCACCTCGGGGGGCTCTCGCCCTGTGCCTTGCTGCACTCCAGCCTTGTGTTCTGTTCATTAGGAATGTTTCACCCGTTGCTTCGATGAAGTGGAGGGGAATTTCCATTTGTCAGGTGGTGAAGAGCTTCTGTGTCTTCATCAGGCAGTGGATGGCGCCGTCCACATGTTTGTGGATGAGATGTTCTGGGTGTGTTGCAATGTGGCTCTGGTGCCTGCAAGGCCCTTGCCTGCTGTGCCCTGTGCACAGTGCTGCCTCCGGATCTTTCTTGACATTCTGTGGGCTGGTGCTTTTGGCCAGGCACTGATGGCTCCCAGGCTGTGCTCGGAGCTGGCAGAGCTGATCTGTGGCTGGAACTTGACCTGCTGATGTTGTGCTGGCTGGAGGGTTCTGGCTGAGCACACCTTCACAGGGCGCTGGTCTGGGTGTGCTCTGCTCCACCTCCCTGCTCAGAGGTGCACTTTGGTTCCACTGCCCTGGCTGAAGTCAGTGCTGTTATTCTGCACATGTGGGTTGCCATAGTAAAAGTCTTTGTGCTGCTTCTGGCTCTTGCCCCACAGACTTCTGTTTTAATTTTGCATTTTGGGATCAGTGATGAAGTGTAACGTTTTCTCCTGGAAGAAGGAGATGATGTATTTGCTTTCTTCCTGTCTGTATGCTTCTGTTACACAAATGACACAGCAGAAGGTTTATACCTAAACTACCATTTTATTCCACTTTTTTGAAAAATAGACCTAAGCTACAGAGTGTGAGTGATACCACTTGGAATTTCTGGCACAGAACTTCTCTTTGCAGGTTTGTTTCTGCGTTGGTTGTTGAAGGACAGCTTTTGTGAGACCTGCAGCTTGGTTGGGCAGCCAGGTTGGATAAAAAGCCTGCCAGAGATCTGGGATTGCATTGTTGATTGTTGAATGTCACAAGCTGCATTAGTGACAGTGACTAATTAAGAATAATTACAGCGGCAGCAAGGCAGATGCATAGCAAGTAGAAAACTAAAAGGGCTGGATTGGCCTCGGTGCCTGTGGAGCAGCGCACTCAGAGCACAGCCCTGGGACAGCAGCATCACCTGAGGGACACCACTGTGTCTGTGAGCATCGGAAGCATTCTGGGGGCTGAACTGCAGGGAAAGGAACTGCAAGGAAAACAGCGTAATTTTGGTCCTCTTGGAGTCTGTGGCAAAACTTGTTTCCACAAGAACAGAGAGAGCACTGTGTTTACTGCTTTGCTCCCACCTGCAGAGCAGAGGTGTCTGAATGGTCAGACAGACTGGAACGGCTGGAGGAACTCTGCAGTTTCTTTGAGCTGACCTTGCTACTAAGATGGCAGACCAGTTACATCATCCTGCTGGGGGAGAGTGGGGAGAGGCATGCTTATCTCAGAAGTTACAGTGAAACATGAGTGAAAAGTTGGGCCTTATCAGACAGACAGGACTGCCTTAAGTCCCTCGGTACTGACCAGCTCACCTCCAGTCCCTAATCTCCTGTCCTTGAGGTTTCAGGTAGAAGAGGCCTGGTTGCATGCCTGGCTACAGGGTGATCCTGTGTGCTTGTGTTGTTCTGGGACATCTCAGGGCTGAGCTGTTGTGTTCATGGCAGCAGGCTGTGAGCCCAGGAGCTGCACCCTCGTAACCCTGGCTGCCGACAGAACCAGGTGCAGAGCAAGGACCTCTGCCTCAATGGGCACAGCTTGTTCTTGTGAGATGTCATCCATGGGCAGGCAGCACAAGGAAAGTGTTTGTTCTACCTGTGGCCAAGCCTTGTATGTAGGACACGTGCTGGGTTGGGCTGCTTTGAAAGGCCTTGAGAGGGTAATTCTGGTCAGTGTGCAGAAACTGTGTAGTTTTTTTACAGGTTTCTGCAGTTTGCTGTCTCCAGCTTATGCCAAAGTGACTAAATACATTTCAGCCTAGGGAGCGTCTGTTCAGTGTGCATGCTATGGTGCTCACTGCAGAAACTGCAGTTTGGAATATGTGGCTCAAATATGCAGGATTTTGAAGCAGGCCATCTCAGAAAAGGGCAGGAGCCTTTGCTTGCTGTTCCTTGCAGCTGCCTGAAATAAATCCCAGGGATTCGTGCAGGCTTCCTTGCAGCAGTTGGAGGGCAATGGGCTCAGTGTTCATCTACCTGCTACCTGGAGCTGTGCTTAACCTCAGCCATTTCAGGGGAATTCTGTTGCAGCTCTGCCTGGGCTGTCCTGTCCTGCGAGTGCCTGAGTGTTCTGCCAGAGCTCTGATCTTCAGTGAGAAGCCAGCCCTCTGCCTTGTCAGGGCAATGTGAACTGAGACATCCAGATCCCGAGGGGAAATGATAAAAGGGGACAGTGTGACTAAAGACATAAAGAGAGAAGAGCAGATGTGTTCCCCTTGCCAGTTCTATTAAAATGATCACAACTGTGCCCTTTGGGCTTCTGTATCTGAAAGAAAATGCTGCGGTGGAGGCTGTGAGTTTTCCTGCAGCAGATCGGTGCTGTGTGTCCAGTCCCTGGTGGTGATGTTGGGTTTGTAGTAAGAGATGTTGCTGTACTCCACCTGTCACTGACTGTGCTTATGGCAGCAGTGAGATGGGAATTCGGGGGTGATGGGAGAAAAACTCCATTTCTGCTTGAACTTGCAGCTCCTCCACCTTCAAGCTGAAATCTGTGGTTGGGATGGCAGAGCAGGGATGTGCTCTGTCACACTGTTGGTTTAGCAAGTTCAGTTGCAGGAAGAGAGGGATTGGGTCCAAAGTGGTGTCAGGCTGATCATGTCCTCCTAGCAGTCTCTTGTTGTGGACGCCCCAATCCCATCTGCCAAGCACTGGAGGACATTTCTCATCTCCCTGTAGGAAGATGAGCCATTAATGCAGTGTGTGCTGGAGGCATGGCCGTCTGCTCTTGCTGCAGTGGGGAAGCAGTGCATGGTGGTTGTAATGCCAGCACTGTGCTGTTTCAAAACAGGACTTGTTCTGGGGCTTTTTCTTCCCTTTTTGTTTCTTAATGCCATAGTAGCCTCAGACAGCCTTGGCACAGCGGGGACTGAGCTTCCCACTGCCACAGCTGTTGTTCTACCCTTGCACGTTGGTGCCTCCTGGCTGTGGAGCAGCTGTCTCACTCAGTCTTGTTCCCTCAGGTGATGAAGACCTACCACATGTATCATGCAGAAAGCATCAGTGCTGAGAGCAAGCTGAAGGAGGCAGAGAAGCAGGAGGAAAAGCAGTTCAACAAGTCAGGAGATGTCAGCGTGAACCTTCTGCGGCACGAGGAGAGGCCACAGCGGCGGAGCTCCGTCAAGAAGATTGAGAAGATGAAGGAGAAGGTGAGCGTGGGGTGAGGAGCCCAGGGCTGTCTGGGGCTGCCTGTGCAGTGGGAGCTTAGCTCTGATCCATTTCACTTCTGTGCAGCTGCTCCTGTCTCCCTGGAGGGCATTAGGAAGTGTAGCTGTACCTGCACTCGGGTGTTTTGCTGTTGACAGTGACCTGTAGCTGTCTCAGGGTACCTTGAGACAGAATAAAAATGTCTTGGATATATAAGATAAGTGCTTTTCATGTGTAGGCTGCCTGGGATTTAAGGTGCAGCCCTTGGATGGTTTGCTGGTCAAAACGTGTAACACCACTCTAGCTTCAGCTTCTCCCTGGGTGTTGGGATCTTTAAAACTGATTAATTCTTCTGTTAATTTCTGAGAATAGCAATAGCTTCTTAAGCATGTGTGTCGGCCCAGCACTGGGGTGCTGTCATGCAGGCAGACCTCTGGGAAGGGTTGATCTTCTGTGCTAAACCTTCAGGCTAGTGATCTTCCTGAGCAAATGCCCCAAATCCAAGCACATCTGCTATTGCAGTTTAGAATTGTGGGTACTGTTCTTAATTTTGGAGTTTGGGCCTCTGGGACAGATTCCACTTTGATACAGCTGCTTAAACCTGGAGTAAATCCAGATGCATGTCAGCGTATCTGGGAGGAAAATTTGGCCCCCCAGTTGTGATTGTTGCCAAAGCTTCCATGAATGCACAGATAAAGGAAGAACAGCTGTGCTTGGGATGCTGTAGATACATCTGAGCAGAACGCGCCTGTTGTGCGTTGGTTGATTGTACCAGGGACGTCCAGATGTGATCCCTCCAGCCTGGCAAAGATGCCTGTTTTCATACCTGATACCAAACTTCATTAATTCATGTGTCACACCTTGGCTCCGGGGCGCTGTGGGGCCCTGCAGGCAAGAGGGACTGTGACAGGAACATCCTATATAGGCTCTAATGCTCCGTTTTGCTTTTTCAGAGACAAGCCAAATACTCTGAAAACAAGCTGAAGTGTACTAAAGCCAGGAATGACTACCTGCTGAACCTGGCAGCCACCAACGCAGCTGTCAGTAAATACTACATCCACGATGTCTCTGACCTCATTGATGTAAGTGCTTCCTCTGCATGCATCCTGCCTGCTTGGCACTGATGAGCGCACAGCTCAATCTTAGACGTGGTTTGGTTCCTAAATGCACTTGTGACCACATGACAGCAATGAAGGAGAGTTTGTTTGGACTTTAAAATGTACTCACTTAGGCCTGATAATGTGCTGTAAGCTTGGATTTTTCCCCATTTATTTTTTCCCCTTGCAGTTGCATGCATGCATGTGACTTCCTTCTCAGCTGAGGTAGGTGTGTGTGTGCAGCACTGGAGCTGTCACTATATGGTACTCAGCCTGCTGAATTTTATGGTGGTCGCATGACCACACAACAAAGTAATCAATTTATATTTATGCTATATAGAAGCTTCTGTTATTGTTGTCTGGAAAAAAGAAACAGAGTTTTGGTTTTAACTGCGTGGTATGAGCCAACATGCATAGCAGTGCCTTCAGGAGTGCACAGGCAGAGGAGGCCAGATTTGGAGCCAGCTCCGTGTATCTTCTGTGTGGTATCACAAGCAGGCTGTGGTCTGGGTGTCACTGTATGTTGCTTTTGGCTTAGGAATCATGCAGAAATGGTGCTTCCTTCAATGTTAAATGGCAGCCTCATTCTCTGTGGCTCTCGCACGTAGTGTTTCCTGCAGCTGGAGCTTTGTGAAGTCCAGAGCTCGTGCTCTGTAGAATTTGTAGAATTGAGTAGAATTTGCCTTGGGGCAAACCAGGTGGTCCTCAGGTTTCCTCCTGGCCCAGCCATTGGTCTGCGTTTGAAATAGATAATCTCTCGTAAAAATTACCTGCATCCTCGTTTTTGTTGTTGAAAACAGAAACCTGTTCTTTGTGCCACGTGTGTCTGCAGATTCTATCAGTTTGGATGGTGCTGAGCACTCCTGAGCTCTGGTGGCAATAAAGCAGATGGAAGTGCTTCCCTCGCTAGGAAAGGCTCCTGCTGAGTTGTATCCAAAACATTCCTTGCAGAAAATTGCCTCAGGGCAGCAACTCCCAGGAGCAGCTTTTGTGACAGGAATTGAAAACGTGTGTGTATCAGGGACTCCTATGAGCTGCTTTTAAATGATTCAGGAGAAGAGTTTTCCATCTCTTCCTTTAGTAGGAGTCCTCACAGTGGTACAGATTGCACTGCGCAGCTCCTTCCTGCTAAGGCAGCTCAGTGAGCAGATCACTGCCCCACCTGTGAGCACCAGGTTGGCCTTCTGGCCTGGTAATCACTGAATGCATAATTAAAAAATGTGTTGAAGAGTTTATCTCCTTCTAACCAACTGATGTGTATGTGTTCTTCCAAGCATTAATTAAAATAAGTCTGATGCAAAACCCACTGAGGATTTCAAGATTCTAAGGTATGGTGAAATATTCTTAGTATGTCCTTATTCTCTTTGTTACTGCAGATGAGTTTAGCCTGGTTAGAAAGAATACTCAGTAACTCAAACATGAAAACGGTCGAGCAATGAGGTGTGATAACTCCTTCATTTATCCAAGGCATTTTCTTCCTGCGGTCCATTCTCTCTCCTCACACACACGCTTCTCTCCCTCGTTGTGTGTTTTTTGTTTTTTAAGAAAGAACACCTTATTTTTGTGGAGTTTCTGAGCCTTTGATTTCCTGGAGAGGCGATGAGTTCCAGTTCAGTTCTGGCTGCTTATATTGTTCCTTCCAGCTTTATTTCCTTGTGCTGACCCTTCCACTACAGTCAGCAGATGGCTTTTCTTCCACACTCCAGGAAATCCCTTGAGGGGACTTGAACTAAAACGTTTTTGACGCTGTGCAACTAAATTCCCCTAATGACACATCTGGTCACCAATGGAAACAAAATATTGGATGCGTGTGCTGTACGTGGGTGCTAATTTTAAATCCCCAAAGGGAGAGCAGTTCATTTGAACAGACTTCTGTACAAATGTTTGCAAGAGCATGGCACAGAAGGTTTCAGAAAGTTCCAGAGGAAGGGGATCCCATGTAATGCTTTCCATTGGTGCCCCTGCAGGCAGCGACGTTGTGCTTTCTGTCGTATGTAATCTCTGTGAAGGCAAATGAAGAAACCAAGTGTTTTAGCTGTGATTTTTAAGTTAGCATTTTAATCTTAATAACTTAATGAGATGGTGCAATAGTGCCTTTCACTCAAGTGCTCGTGCTGCTTGCAGATACCAGGTTGGTGCAGTCAGCTGCTGTCTGGTGCCGTCCTGGTACTTCATGGGGTGCAGCAGAGGCTGTGAGTGGAGGACGTGAGTTTTGCCCTCATGCCCAGTGCAGCTGCTGTGCTGTGCAGGGCCGCGTGGTGTGGAGCTCCTGCACAGCATTCACACTGAGCAGAGCTGCCACACGCAGTTCCTATCTGTACATAAATCTGAACAGTCACAGCTCTGGAGCAGCTGATCCAGCGGCGTTTCCCCAAATCCCAGAGGGCTCTGTGCTGTTAGGCACAGCCTTGATGTTTCTTGTGCCCTCAGCGGCACTGCAAAATGAGACTGCTAGAACAAAGCCTCTGCTGATCTCCCACTCCGGTGAGAGATGAGGCCCCAGCTGTTCTGTGAGGGTGAGCCGTGCTCCCAGGGCCCGGCTGTGATGGCAGATGAAACACTTGGAGGGGCTGTGCCCTGCTGTGTCCAATGGCCTCGTTGGTCCTTCTGTAGGAAGGAGAAAAATAGGGAGACGCATCAGGTTGATTTGGGCTTAAAGCGCATCATTTGCCTCTTCCCTCAAAAGAATCATGTTTCTATTAAGGCACCTGTGTTCTTGTTTCTGTCGTTAAGTGTGTGACCAGATTAATCTCTGTGGCCTTGCATGTGGAATGGAGATAAAGCTGTTTCCATCCGCATGGTGCTCTCTGCTCAGTAGCTGTGTGCTATTTGAAGGCTCACACAGAGGATGTCACCAGGTCAGGGCACGGTGTGGCAGTCAGTCAGCTCCCCGACATCGCCCTGAACCGCCGCTGTGTCTGCGTGCATGGAGCTTTTGCTGCATTGGGACAAACAAACAGGTAAAGGAAGGGAACTCTTAGGGATGTTAAATTACTGTCGAAAGGTTTGGTCACTAGAAAATGCTGATAACATTGTTATTTTTAGTAAGGTCAAGTGATGCTTGGGAAGCAGTTTGGGAAAGCCACTGGTAGCTGTAGCAGCAGAGCCAGGCAGCCGCCCTGCTGTGGGACTGGAGGGAATAGAAATGTGCTTTAGGGACAGCTTTCACTGGGCAGAGAACTGAGGCCTGAGGAGGCACTGCTGCTCAGCAGTGCTTTGCCGTGCCCCAGGCGGCTGCAGCTGCTGGTGGTGATGCAGTGAGGAGCAGGATGTGCTGGGGCCAGAGCTAAGAACAGAATTCTGCTCTGCAGTGACCTGTGGGCAGCGTGTGTGGCACGGCAGGCTGGCCCTGCGGAGGTGGCAATGGCAGCAGATGAGAATCCGGATGGACCTGCTGTGTTCTGAGCCTCATGCAGAGTGAGGGAATGAATGGGAGAAAAAGAATTTGCTTTGTGTGATCTTTTTCAAAGCAGGGCTGATGTGGCTGTAGGGGAGGGGAGAGCTGCGCTGGCTCGATTTTCTTGCAGGAGTTGGACACCTTTTGTTCTCACACCAGTGCCCTGCTTTAGTAAACTCACGTTCTGTTTCTATTTGCAGGTGGTTAATAAAAAAGCTGCCATACTCCCTGTTTGTCAGCACGCCTTAAATTGTGATAATCCAATAACAGTGCTTTTTTCTAAGCTGTTCTTAGCGTGCTCTGTTAAACTACGGAACCCGGCCAGCGCTCATCTCTTTAACTTTGCCTGTCTTGGCTATAATAATACAGCAAAACTATGTGGTTTTTTCCCCAAAGTTTGCGCCTAGTGAACGATTCTTTCCTCATGCAGGCACCACAGACATTGAAATTGTCTCGCTAGGTTAATGAAGCCCGCTTGCAGATTGTTTTATGGCTTGGAGTATCGTGCAGTCTATAAATTCTGCTGCTCGAGGGCTGTGAGCAGCCTTTGTCTGATGAACCTTGTTAGTGCGGCACAAAAAGGCAACAGGATGTTCCCTGGGAGAGAAGAATTCCTTCTCGACACTTTCTGTGCTTTTCCCAGTAGCGTGAACGAATAGCCTCAAGGTCCCAATGTCCTTTAGGAGATTAATTTACCAATGAGTTCATCTTGGAAAAAACCCAAACCAGCACACATGCACAAAGGGCCTAAGAAGGTGTACATGGGAGAGGAGTGCAATAGGGAGATTAAGGGCCAGAGTGAAATGTGGGTCAGAAATCCTTTGGAAAGAAACCCCTTCTGGGTCTGCAGAGGTAATTACCATAGCGGGGTTTGGAAGGGGCCGCGTGGAGCTGCGCTCTGCAGTGCTGCAAGAAGGAGCATTGCTTGGAGGTGATCCAGCCTCGTGCTTCAGAGTTGGTTATGGAAGTCAGAGGGCCCCGTTCTTCCCCTGCTCCATCCCTGTGCGCTCACAGCTCCGTGTTTGGCTGAGAATGAATTGGGTTTTGGGGGCTCTGCAGTGCTCCCTCAGGTACCGAACCCGATGGCCACAGCCGCTCCTTTGGGAGAGGTGGTGTTGGAGCTGCAGGGCCGTGTGGGCACAGGGGCACACAGCCTCGTCCTGCAGGGAGCACGGCCGTGGGTTGGCTGCAGGGGGGAGGTGCGCAGCTGGCTCTGCCCCCTGACCTGCTGTCCTCGTGTTGTTGTGGAGCGGCTGCGCAGGGCTCGGTGGCAGCTCTGGGCTGTGGCCGCAGCTGTGCCCCCACCCTCAGCAGCCCTGTGCTGCTGGCCTTGTGCAGGGGCTGCGGGGCTGCAGGCACAGCTTTGTGCTGTGCAGCCTCTGGTGTGTCCCAGTGCGCTGGGCCAGGCATTCCTGTACCTGTGCTGGGGTGCTGTTGTGGCCAGGCTTGTTTCCGTGCTGATGGCTCTGAGGGACGTGTGGTGGCTGTAGGGCTGCTGCTGTTCTGTTCTCCGTGGCCACGAGCTGAGCACTGTGTTTTCTTGGACCGCTTCTCTGAAGACCTGAAGGTAGGTCCAGGTGCGAGGTAGGTGCTGGCACCCAGCATTGGCATGGCCAAGCACAGTATTACCTTAGTAAAGCATTACTTCATGCTTTAAAATGAGTTAAATATCTTCTGTGTAAACAGTGAGATGAATCAGTGCTTCAGAAAGCACTTCGTTTTCTGTGAGGTCTGGCACCGCTGTAGCCTTGCTGTACGAGAACTTTGTGTTCCTGCAGAGCTGCCGTACCAGAGTTCTGGGGGGAGCAGGCAGGGAGGGACCCTCAACTCACCCCGAGCTGCTGCTCTGCACCCCCGGCCTGGCAGCTGTGCTGGGCACAGGGCAGGATACGTGCGGCTGCCTCTGTGCTCTGAGCAGAGCTGTGTGACCTCCCGGGTCTCACTGTTTCTCTGGGTAGCACTGCAGTACTTCCAGCCCTTGGAGAGACTTAATGAATTAACGTATGAAGAGCTTTGAGCTCTTCAGATGAAAGGTGCTGCAGAAGTACTAAGGGTTGTTATTTGTGCTTCTAAATTATTTTCCATCGAAGGGGGATGAGAAGGGTAAGAAAATGCCATTTGTTCTGGAGCTGGGAGCTGGAGTTTGAAGTCCTTTTTCTTTTCTTTTTTTTTTCCATTCATGCTTGATGTGTTTCTCAGGGAGCAGTGTGACTGCCGATGCTCCTTTCCCTTCCAGGCAGCAGTGCATGCAGTGCTAGTGCAGTGCAGAGCCTCAGCACAGGACACATAGCGAGGTGCTGCCTGGTTGTCAGTGTTGGGCACTGCTGGCTACAGCACGAGCTCTGTTTGCAGGGAGGATCTCAGTAGCATTTCTTTCCACACGTGTCATGCATTACCTCCTCAGAGACTCACGGTGCTGTGTCCAGTTTGCACTCCACTTCCCCCACTTTGATTCCCCAGAGAACCATTTTTTGAGTGTTGTTTGCAGAAGGCAGAGCTGCACCAGTTCTTAACTGTCCCTATTTTAAACTAATAAATGTAGAAGATAAATAGCAGTAGGATAAATAATGGATTAAAACCACTTAATCAGTCCTACCCCTACCGGGGGCAAGCAGAGCACACCGTAGATCTGCAAACAGGAGCAGTCCTGTTGTGCTGTCACTGCTCATTCCAGCACAGACCAGCGAGCACAGCTCTGTGTGACATGATGTGAGCTGAGGGTTGTCCTTTCACATGGCAGGAGGAGCGAGGTGACTTCTCTGGCTGGAGCTGCTCGTGGCACCAGCTGAGTCTTCACTTCACTTCGAGTTTGTCAGTGCTGATGTTCTGATGCAGAGGCACTTTCTGTGCCTTTGGTTAGAAGTGATTCCTTTGGGCACTGAAGAGTTGGAGGAATGGCATCTGCCCCGTGAAGATGGCTTTGTGCTGCCAGAAGCAGAGGGGAACCTGGTGGGTAAGCTGGGATTCTGGGTGGTTTGGTTACAGCTCAGACAATGAGGACTTTCTACTCATTCTTTAAATTGTGTGACAACAGAGCTTCTTAATTGTAATGTATGTGGCTGGCAGGTGCCAGCTCAGTTCTGCTTGCTGCAGCAGCGCTCACAGTGCCCACCAGCACGTTCTGCCTCAGCGCCTCCAATGGACATTGCTCTGTGCTGCAGCTCTGCAGGGCGTTGCACTCGTGTGCAGGTCTGTGCCATCTTCAGACCCTGTGTGTGACTGCTGCTCACAGGCTGTGCTGGTGACAGCGTGTGTCACTGTGCCTCGGCTGTGCCAGGAGTCAGGGCGTGCAGGGGGCATGTTTTTATGGAACTCCTAACAGTGGGTGAAGCTGTGGTTATCCAGCTTTACATCCTCTATCAGGAACTTCAGCCCTCTTATGTCTAGGAATAGATGTCCCTCAGTTTTGGATTGCAGCCTTCTTGCAGCCCTGCTAGCATGGCTCAGTCTGATGTGCTGCTCTTCAGCTCCCAGCTGTGCCTCGCTGTGCCCCTCCTTTCCCTGCAGAGCCACTGCTGGTATCCCTGTGCTGGGTGCCTGCAGCAGGGCCGTGCCTGATGCCGTGCTGCTGTCCTTTTTAGTCTGGGAGGAGACCTGTTGGGATGGAGCTGCTGCTTGCTCAGCCGTGATTCGGTGTTCAGAGCAGCAAATCCCTGAGCTGTTGCTATACTTAATGTGCTAAATTCAACTGTATAAAAAAGAGTTTAAAAACAGGCTTTTGCTGCTCAAATACTGTGCACTAGGCAGTTAGCTCAGTTTTATCATGTTCTCCAAGATGAGGATGATCAGCTGTGCATGAGGAATGGCCTTGTGAGCTTCTTGGTGAGGGTGGAGGGGCCTTGCATGCACTGCAGAGTCCTTTGGTACCACTGTGCTCAAGCACCTGTCAGTATGGGGTTACTCAGGGAATGGTTTCTTTGTGCAGAAGGCACTGGCAGCATTGCTGGAACTGAAGAGAGTTCAGAGTTCCTGCAGGGCAGGAGTTCTGCCATCAGTGCCGCCCTGCCCTGGTGCTGAGCAGCCAGAGGAACCATGCCTTTGTGTGATTTTTTAGCTCTCTCCTGTCTGAGAGCCAGTTGTGTCTTTTCCCAGCAAAGCTAGGGGCATTAAATTCTCGTGCTGTGCCCAGACACCAGTGCAGGGTGGTGCACGGCCCAGCTGTTGGTGCGCCCTGAAATGCGGTGTTGCCGTGCACTGATGGCACAGTGATGGTAGTGCTGGTGGTACCTGTTCCTAACTCAGCCCTGCCTTGCTGTGCCGCAGTGCTGTGACCTGGGGTTCCACGCCAGCCTTGCACGGACCTTCCGGACGTACCTGTCTGCTGAATACAACCTGGAGACCTCCCGCCACGAGGGCCTGGACATCATTGAGAATGCTGTGGACAACCTGGATGCGCGGAGCGACAAGCACACCATCATGGACATGTGCAATCAGGTCTTCTGCCCTCCACTGAAGTTCGAGTTCCAGCCCCACATGGGGGATGAGGTACGGCGCTCGGTGCTGGGGAGCTGCCTCACAGCCTGGTCTAGGCCTGGTCCCTCTTAGCCGTCAGCCTTACGTCGTTTCTTCCCCTTTGCTCTGTCTTCACCTGCTGCTGTTCGCGTTTCCTTTTTCAGTCAGGCACTTAGCTCATTAGCAGCACTTCTCCTTTCAATCTGCTCTTTGTCCTCTCCCAATTACAAATCCTGTGTTTTCATCCTCAGCTAAACTGTCCAAGAGATTTGATGCTGGGACTTTGATTTACCTGCTGTAATCCGGAGTCTTTGGAGTGCAGCTTTAGAAAGCTGAGTGGAAATGCTTTGTGCTAGGTCCACAGCACTGCTGCTCAGAAACCGGACCACACTGCCTGAGAGGGCTGCAAGGAACTTGTGGGTGCTGAGAAAATCTTTCTGGTGTTAAAGCGTGTATCTGGTCTGTGTGCAACCCACTGAACCCCTCTCCTGCCTCTGCCTTGCTCCTACCCAGGTGTGCCAAGTCAGTGCCCAGCAGCCTGTGCAGACTGAGCTGCTGATGCGGTACCACCAGCTACAGTCCCGCCTGGCCACCCTTAAGATAGAGAATGAAGAGGTAAGAGCTCATCCTCCACCCCCCTTCTTGTGCTCGGGTGTGGGAGTGTGCAGTGCTGAGATCTCCCTTTGCAGCTCATGCTGGGGCAAGCCTAGTACTTATGAGCTGCTTGTGGGCCTGTTGTTTTGGCTCCAGATGTCATTTTTTCCCTGTTTGCTTCAAAAACGTGCTGTCTTTTATGCCTGATAGGTACGAAAAACTCTGGATGCCACAATGCAGACTTTGCAGGACATGCTGACAGTGGAAGATTTTGATGTTTCAGATGCCTTCCAGCACAGTCGCTCCACTGAGTCGGTCAAATCAGCTGCTTCAGAGACCTACATGAGCAAAATAAACATCGCCAAGAGGAGAGCCAACCAACAGGAGACTGAGATGTTCTATTTTACAGTGAGTCTCATGTCACGTGATGCAGGACACAGGGCATTAATTGCGAGGACTGAGTTGCATTTTAAGTGCTCGTTAGTGAAGAGCAAGAACCAATTCAGTCTTTCACTGTTAGCCTTCTGTATAGTTTGGGATTGGAATGTACTTCACAGCAGCATGGAAATACATGGAGAATGACAATTTAGTGTCTGTCTTGCTCTCATTTTTAATGGAACAACTGCAGCAAGCAGTTTTGATTCAAAGTTTACAGAAGTCAGCAGGAGTGGCACAGCACTGGGCAGCAGGCTCCAGTTAGGCCCAGCTGATGGATCCTTTGGAGGCCTTTCCAGTTTTGAACCCTCAGCTGAGCCTTTTCTGGTCTGCACAGCTAAAATCTGTACTGGGCCTAGGGTTGAAATAAGCTGCCATTAGCATCTTGCACAGGCATTGCAGGAAGCTGTGCTGACTGGGGTTCTCTGCTGTGTGCGTGCTGGGCAGCAGCACCTTTGGTCAGGTACTGTGCACCTGTACTGCTCTTAAGGTTCTCTGTTATCACTCGTGAAGCAGTGAGACATTAGCTTGGCAGAAGTGCCCCTCATTTAAATGTGGTTAATAGGCTCAGTTGATGTATGTAAATGTCTTGTGATGTATACGTGAGTGTGATTTCTCACGTGGTATTATCATTTCTGGGTGGGCAGGGAGGGTGGAAATCAGCATGTTAGTTTGTCTTGAGTTGTGCTTGTTTCTTTAATTTTGCAAAGACTTGTGATTTTTTTTTTCCTTTTTTTCATCTTTTGTTTTCCATGCGTGTCTCCCTTACTCCTCCTCTATAACATCACTTGCTCTGGAGCACTGCTGGGTGCACAGCACTGCAGTGCAGTGAGTCGTGCTGCATGGTTTTCATTGCCCAACACTGTGTGTCCACTGCCTGGGCTGCTCTGCTGCATCACTTGTGTGTATGGGGCCAAAGCACCGCCAGGGGAGGGAAAACCTCTTTGATTTTCCAGGCTTTTCTCAGAAGCCTGACAAAAGAAAGTTTGCTTTGAACTTTTTTCTTTGGAGCAACTTGCATTCCCAGGCAGGGGGTGCAGCACCAAGGAGACCAGGCTAATAATAAGATCTTCAAGACTGTAGCTGGGGCAGTGGGAAGTGATTATTAGACCCTGCTCCATCCTGCAGTGCGTCCGCCTCCTCGTTTGTTGGAGCCTGACAGCCTCTGTGTCCCCTCAGTAGCCCCCCAGGCAAAAGTGTACTTCAATTTCAGGTGATTATTGCCAAGAGTCTTAACCTACCTCGCTTGTTCTGTTCTTAATTCCAGAAATTTAAAGAGTATTTGAATGGCAGTAACCTTATCACAAAGCTCCAGGCTAAGCACGACCTGCTGAAGCAGACTCTTGGGGAAGGTGAGTCGTGGGGTTAGGCACAGGGAGGGAACAAGTGCTGCCAGCATTACTCTGGCATCTGGCTCTGAGCTCTGGCTTCGGTGGTGTGGGGACAGAGCAGAAACGGGCCTGTCTGAGCTCTTCCCAGAGATCCCATCCCAGATGTTAGCACCAGACTCAGACCTGCTTGGTGGCTGCGGGGCTGCGGCTCCTGGGGTCGGTGCAGGAAGCGATTAATCTCTTGATAATGATTTGATGACTGCCCTGCTCTCACACACGAGCACTGTTGTGGCTGTACTTGGGAGGAGGAGTGTGGTGTCAGTCGTTGCAGTTCTCTGAGAGTTGTGCAAAAGCAGCTGTGGAACATTTTCACATGGAAACTGAATTTCTTCCAGGTCATGGGATTGTCCTGCTATGTAGACGTTTGGCAAATATTTGGCCCAGAGATGCAGAATGCTGTGTTTCAGCATGAGTGATTCTCTTTAGGAAGAAGTCTGGGTTTGCAGAACACTTGTGTGGAATTCTTTGCTTTTTCAGTGAGGAATTGGCTGCAGGCTTGCTTTCTGCAGGTGCCAAGGGAGAGCAGGAAGGAGGCACGTGTAGCCAAATGCTTCCTTTTATGTGCCTTAGAAAAAAGGAAGGCTAAATCGGCTTCCTTTGGAGAAAAGCACAAACAGCATGTGAAATGGATGTATTTTTTTCAGTGGATTGACAAGCACTTCAAAAAATGAGCAGATCTTATCACTGGTAATATACTGCTGTTTATGTGAAATCCAAGCGCTAAAAATACACGAAGGGAATGAGAATATTGACAGCCAGAATAGTCTGCTTGATGATGATTAGATGGGCTGTTATCTCATAGGAAGAGCCAGGGAGCAGAATTACACCACTGTATTTAGATGCTATTAGTGGTCCTCCATGAGGCAGTTGGATAATCTCAGCAGCCTCCCCAGGGGCTTCAGCCCTTATCAGCCTCTCCTTTTCCTATTTGAATTTGGCCAATACCCAGCTAGTGTAAATGAGCACTTACTGCAGAGGACCTGCAGTGCATCTGGTTATTTTTTTCCAAGATGGACTTCGTATTGCAAATAAACCTTTAATGTCAGTGGGAACAGAAGATGCTTTCCCTCCCTTGTGACTGAGCCCTGGACTTCTAATGCCTCATATGGAAGGGGTTTGCATAGCAATCAGCTTGACATCTTCTGCAGCCTGCAGGGCTTTCAGGCACAGTCAGCCTCTTTGCCACAAGCAATTAACTCGGGACTTACAGAGCCAGAATGGGGGCATGAGTGCTTGTGCAGCTGTGTTTTGGGTCAATTTTCTAGTGATATGAAGAGTTGATGGGAATTTATTTTCCTTCATAGGTGAAAGAGCTGAATGTGGAACAACCAGGTGAGAAGTTTCTTTTATTTCATCTGTATTTGGGAATAACCTTTGGCTTGTACTGGCCGTGGTGAGGGTGGCTTTCTTTGCTGCTGATGCAGCTTGGTGGGGCTGGAGGGCAGGCAGACCCCGCTCTCCACTTTGCTGACATGCTTCCCCACTGCACTGCCTCCAGTGGAGTAGTTGGGCTGAGAACAAGCAGGGCCTTGGCGTTGCAGTGTAATTTCTAGCTGACTGCCTGGAAGTGCCATGTCAGCACGGTGCATTGCAGTGCCTGATAGGCACAGCCTGGCTTGTGTTCAGGCAGCGCAACGTGAACATGTCCACCTGCTGCTTACCATCCCTGTTTGTTTAAAGGCTTTGCATCCTCTGAAAGCCTCTCCTGCCTCTTGCTCCTAGGCGAAGTAACACAGAGTGTCTTCCAATGCTTTCATCCAGCTACGGCAGGAGATAGTGCTAGGGGTGAATGTAAAGGAAGAAGACTTTGATCTGTATCCAGTCAGTAAAGCATCTCTACAGAGCTCTGGTGGCTTGCTCTGAGTGTGCTGCTTTCACAACAGTAAGACATGGGCCAGCAAAGCCTGCTGATGGCTCCCCAGAATGTGAAGTACCTCTCTGTGCATCATCTTTTTACGATCCCATTTCAATGTTTAATTCAATTTGCAGTACCAGCAAAAAAGCTGCATGCATTCCATGTTTGAAATGCTGAAGCAGATGGTAAAGGCAGGGCTGCCCAGGCAGGCAGGAAGGAGGTTTCCTGACAGAGAGCGGGGTGAGCAGGGTGCCTTGGTCTGCTGCCTGCTGGTGGAGATGGGCTGCAGTGCAGTGCTGTGCCAGGCCAAGAAGGATCAGTGCTGGACTTCCAGTACAAGGTGCCATCAAGACAAAGAAGAAACTTGTGAGCCTGGAGTGGGGAAGAGAGCAGGGACGCAGGCTAAGAAATCCAGACATCGTCAGGTATCACTGCAGCCTTTTGTTCCTGGAGCTGCCCTTGGCCCTTCAGCCCACTGCAGTGCTGGGTGCCCTAGGGCACTTGGCTTATGGAGGGTCCCTGCAGAGCAGTGGATACCAAGCTGCTGCTCCTCTGTCACTGCCTTTCCCAGCAGAGCTGCCCTGCAGGGCTCTCATCTCAAGTCCCTGGCATTGGCTTACACGCTCCTGTGAGCTGAGCTCTGGTCCTTTGGGAGCCCCAAGCTGGGCTTTCTGCTGAACTGGCTGATGAAACCAGGCCAAACCTGAAATAGTTTGCTCTCGATTACTTTGTTTCTCAGGAGTGGGTGCCCATGGACTGGTGATGATGGAGGCCAAAACAATCAAAGGAGTAAATAGCAGAATGGTGGCACAACTCCCTGCTGCTTCTGTTTGCTTTTGTTTCAGCCTTTGCTTTTACTACACAAAGGAAAACAAACAAGAGACAATCTCCTTCTTGTCAGTTCAGGCAGAGCAACCTTCCTGCAGACACAGCTGGAGGAGGAGGACTGCCCACTGCAAGAGGAGATGGCACCTCAGCAAGCAGCCCTGGGCTGTCAGCTGAGGGTCAGGGGCACTCCGCTCTGCAGTGATCATTTCTGCTCCAGTGGTCACTGTAGGCTGGGCAGGAGGGTGGATCCAAGAATCACTCAGAGAATTTATGCTATTTTTCTCTCTCCTATATGTGGGTGCTTGTGTCTTAATGTCCTTCGTTATCAGAAAGAGAAATCAGAATGCAAACACCATTAACAGAAGCAGATCCCTGATCACGACGCTAAAATAAGTCATGTGTTTTCCATGGCTGTGTTCCAAGAGTAACGTGTGTCTGTAACCCTTGCTGAAGTCAGTGGAGTCCTCAGGATCTGTTTGCCAGGCTGGTGAGGCCCACTCGTCCCTGGGTGACACAGGCTAGGTCAGAGTGCTTCATGGTGCAGTGCCACGCTGTGTTGTTTGGTGGTGCTGAGGGAGACTTTGCTCAGTGCTGTGTTTTGACAGGGCTCGCTTGTTTCTTTGGATCTTGAGTTCCTGGCAACTTCTTCCTGCCAGAAAGACCAACAACCATCTGCATCCCTGTGAGCCTTTCCCAGAGAGAAAGTAGCTGCAGAGGGAGGTTCCCACTGTCCCCTTAGGCAGAGCGTGAGCAGAACAGGGTGCATTTCTCAGTAACAGGATTGCTTTGGTGTTCTCCAAAGGCTAGCTGCCGTGTGTTTGGGGTGTACCAGGGGATTGGTTGAATGCTTCAGCAGCTCTTGGTGCTTTTTCATGCTGGCAGAGTGCTGAAGCGGTAGAAGTAGGAGGCTGGTGTTAAAATCCTTCATTTTACATCAAAATGTTATCCTTGGTAGCAGAGCAAACACTGGGCAGCGGTTGCACTTGCTCACACCTCAGAGAGGGAGAACTGTCTGCGGGTTGTGTGTAAAGGCAGCTGTGCTGAGCTGTGCTCAGCAGCTTTGTTGTTTTCTTGCTTGAATGAAGGAAATCCTGCGCGAAGGAAATTGCTGCCATCATCCATTGGGGTTGTGGTTGCCGGTGTCTGTACTGCTTTGCCGCTGTCTGGGGACGATTTGTTCTTTGAGGTATCAACCAGGAGTCTTTGAGACACCCATCAGAACCGCCGGTTAGCACAGCCGCTGCACGGCCGGTCGGTGTGCGCAGCGCTCAGCCCACGTGTCAGCCCTCGCCGTGGGGTTTCTGTTGGGTTGAGCTGCTGTTCTCAGTCATAACCTTTGAGATCTCACCCGGTCGTTGCATTTATGTTGGTGTTTTGTTGATTTCTTTTGTTCCGTTTTCTCCCAGGCCCCCATGTCTTCCCCCTAAGCCACAGAAAATGAGGAGACCTAGGCCTCTCTCAGTCTATAATCATAAACTCTTTAACGGCAATATGGAAACGTTCATTAAGGTACTCGCTGGCTGTCAGTAAGAGCTGATGAACGCTGTGAATGTAATGGCGGCTTTCCTGTCCTATCTGCCCACTGCTTTCCTGCCCTGCACCCAGCCGAGCGGCCGGCAGCCCATCGGTGCGGCTCCACCCGCAGCGCAGCCCATCACGGCGCCCCACACGCAGCGCAGGAGGCCGTGCAGCGCTGGGCCGCAGCACCGTGCTGAGCTCCTGCCTCCAGCCGCGGCTCCCTGCTGTGGAGCGAGGAGGGCAGGGCAGCCTGGCTCTGCTGGGCCCCGTGGAGCACGGCGGGGTTAGGGGTTTTTTTCTTCATACGACATAATAGATTTGAGGTGGGGAAACTGCTGAGGAGTACGCACGATTTTCAAGGTGGATTTCGCTGGAATGTGCTGATTAGAAGCCTTAATGATGTACTCCCTTATTTTCTCCATTTTCCTCCATATTTGGTGTTCTTGCCCTAGGGCGGAAGCAGCAAACAGACTTACAAGCTCCCATGTGTCTCCCAGTTGTGGGGACCGCAACCTTAAGATGAAATACCTTGCACTGGGGGGTAGATATGCCACTGTGACCCTTTAGGAAAAGAAAAACGCTGAGCGGCTCGATTGGTGCATCTCAGCGTGACTGCTGGCAGCCAAGAGAGGAGCGGTGTTGGTTTGGGCAGAGGCTGGCCTTGCCCACAGCGCACATCCTGCTGTCCAGCTGTCCGGGGTTTTGTATTTAGGCTGATTTTTAAAAAAGGTGCTGTCAGAGCCATTCCTGCTGAGCACCACAGCACTGCTGGCTGCAGCAGGGTGCTGCCTGTGGGTGCTGCTGGGGCTGCTCCGGCCGCCAGGCTCAGTGCTGGCACGGGCTGGGGAGGGTGGGCGGGTGCCACAGGGCTGGGCTCGGACCTTGCTAAGCTGCCATTGCATTTGAGCGTTCATGGCCTCCAAGGAGATGCTTACCTCTAACTGAACTCATCTTTGCTTAATCTCTTCTTTTTTTCCTGCTCTGCTGCTTTTTTGTGTTCTCAGAGGAAGGAGGAATGCGCGAACAAGAAATCAGGTATTTACTGCAGGCCCGTCTGTGAGACGGAGTAAATTGACCAGGGAGATGCAACTGTACTGGGATAAAAAGAGCCAAACAAAGCCCTGAGGAACATGAGCTCCCCTTGTGACAGCAGGCACTGCTCATGTTCCTCTGAGCTCCTGCCCCAAGGGGCGGCTGTGAAGGAAAAGCCAGAACCCGCCATAGGCTCAGACGCAGGCAGTATTTCACAGACAGTAATGGGGTTTTTTTCTTTTTCTTTCTTTTTTTTCTTAAGCATCTGCTGATAATGGCTCTTTCTTTAGGTGGAAATATTGTTGTAAGCTCTGTTACTGGAAGCTTATTTCATCAGTCAGGTACAGCACAAGATTTATTTTGGTTCAGCATTACACCTGTGAAATGGAGTAACTGTGATCCAGTTGCATCAGCCCGCTATCTCAACCAGATAGTGAGCAAGTCTTTGTCACACACTTCAGTGAAAGCTTTTTGTGAGTAATCGAGTGCACACAGTGTATTCAGCACTGCTAGATGGCTTGATGTGTGTAACACCTCCTTTTCTTGCCTGTCCTCTTACTAAACTCAATGGCACTGTTTCTCAAATCTGTTTTTGCAGCCTTTAGTGCATTTTTCCCAAGCTTTATTATCAGTCAGCCAGTACATTTTTGCCTTTTTTTTTTCTTTTTCTTTCATGAAGGATTCCGGACAGGCCATTCCACTTGTAGTAGAAAGCTGCATTCGTTACATCAATTTGTATGGTAAGTTAATTCAGCAATACTGAAGGTGAAACTTTCTGCAGAGGTAATGAGTTATTTGCAGCTAGCAGAGAAATGCAGCAGAGATGCCCTCAGACCTTGCTGTATTGCCTCAGGTTATAATTACAGTGGCATCGACTGTGATGTAATGTTGGATGACTGACAAATATTTAGGTCTTGTTAGCACTCATCCATGTTAAATTGCTTGCTCAGGCCCTGGGCCAGGAGCAGCTCTTCCAGCACTTTAATCTGGGAGCTGTGCTGGAGAGTAGGAGCAGGGCTGGCTCATGCTAGGCTGTCTGCTGCTCGCTCTCTGAGCCTTTCTCTGTGGGTGCATTGACTGCTGGTTTCTGCTCTTCTTCACCAGAAAGTATTGGACAACAGTTATGCAAATCTTTTCCAAAAATAATTGTTCTTTTCCAGGCCTTCAGCAGCAGGGCATTTTTCGAGTTCCTGGCTCACAGGTAGAAGTCAACGACATCAAGAATTCCTTTGAACGAGGTGTGTTGGCAAAGCATGTGGTTGGCCAGGCTCCTCCTGCCTGTGCTCTGGGACAGTTGTGGCGCCTTGGGGGATGTTGGGGCACCAGGCCTTATGTAAATAAAAGCCTCCCTGTGAGAGAAGCTAGGAGGCTGTCTCCTTCTGGCTGTCCTAGTTTTGTATCTCTGCAGTGGCAGTCACCCAGCGGGAGAATAGCTGCGGTGGGGAGAGCTGCAGAGATCCTCTCCACATCATTTGCTGCTGAAGCCATAAAATGATTTGTTGAGAATCCATTTTCATGGAGCTTTGGTCAGTTTCCAGGACAATATGGGAGTGACAGCGCTATCCAGAGCAGTTTGGTCTGTTCCAGTGGTCTAACTGCATACTGCACGCAAGCCTGTCTTCTCATGCCATCACCTACTATAGCTCAGATCTGCTCAGCTCTCCAAGCTGTTGCCTTAAATGCAAAAAATGCACTGGACTGAAAATGATGCAGTAGAATCAGTTAATAACATCCTCCTCTTCAGGAAAGTTTTGAGATGTCAACAGTAAACTACATACTGTGGCCTTTTGTAGGTAAGGCTGCAGCAAGCCTGAGTGTGACGCAGTGTTACAGAGCGCCTCGTTAAGCTCTTTTGCTGAGAAAACACACGATTGCCATTCCACACGGGAGGGTTGTCTGAACTGTGGGAAGGTTTTTACCAAGTGAGGGGAAAAAAGCTTGTGGTGTTGGTCCAATCTGACTGTAATGCTACAAGTAGAAACTCTTCCCTGGGCAGGTGAAGATCCCCTTGCTGATGATCAGAATGAACGTGACATTAACTCAGTGGCTGGAGTCTTGAAGCTGTATTTTCGAGGACTGGAAAACCCCCTCTTTCCTAAGGAAAGGTTTCAAGATTTGGTATCTACTATAAGTAAGTATGTATGACGTCTTCTTGGAGAACAGGGTGGGACAAGTAAAGCAATAAACAGGGCATATACACCTGTGCTTTGCAGCATATACTGTCAGAAGGGCTGTAGGTCTGCAATGGAACTTGTGAGGAAAAGACATTGAGGATGCGCGCTGTCAGTGCTGGAGGTAAGGCAGAGGTGTAACATCTTGCTATGGCTCCTCTAAAATCCAAAGAATCAACTTCAGGCTTAGGCTAGTGGGCTGTATACACGTTGCTTGTTGCATGAGGGCTCTTTGGTCGCTTGAACACAGCAGGCAGTGTCTTCCTGCACAGTCTGTCTACACAGATCATAGCTGTTCTTGAGCTGTTGCATGCCGTGCAGCTGGGACTGAGAGTTTGCAGCATTGTCTGCTAAGCAAAGCAGAGGTCAGTACTTCATAGCTACTCAGGAAACTTCTCTGATCCATGAAGTCAGCAAAGGTGGTTGCAGCCTCACAGAGTCAGGGGTTCTCGAAGTATTTGCTGCTTGTTTGTGTGCCTCAAAGAAAAACAAACTTCACTGGGATGTGAGCAGAGGTAGAAGCTGAGCTTCATCATGAAATGATGTGAACCAACTGTTGGGGTTGGTTTCAGGGGAGAAGCCTGGTCACCCCTATGTTCTGTCCTGACTTCTCTCAACTCAACTTGTTCCCGTGCAACTGAAGAATCGGATCTCCCAGCTGAGCCTTATTTCTCACAGTACCTGGTAGTGATTTTGTTTAGCATTTGTTTATTGGCAAGTCATGGAAATCGCTCCCGTTGGGCAAAAGAAGGCAGAACAAATTCAGTGCATCAGAGACAGTAGAAGAATGTTGTGCACTGTGGCTACAGGACAGCTTTGTTTGATGGGAGCAGTGTTGGGCTGTGTGGTTTGCCTGTTGGCTTGCAGGTGCTCTGGGGCTGAAGGGCTGTGCCCTTGCTCAGCTGTCACTGCTCAGGGCTCCTTCCTGCCTGGCAATGTCGATGTGCATAGCTGCTGGAGATTTAGCAATGTCAAGACAGACAGATGATACCTGGAGGGGAAGGGCTCAGGGATGGGTTTGTTCCAGAAGAGGAATGTATTCTTATTTCTCAGGAGCAGTTGTTTTGTAGAGTAGCTGTTTGAAATTTGCTGTTGCCTTTCCCTTTTGATGTGTAAAACAGTGCAACACACCTGTAACTCTGCAAGCAAAGGAAGCTGTTTCTGCCCCAGGCAGGGAGCTCGTCTGGCCATGAGCAGATGCAGCCACCCCTGGGCTCTGTAGGAGCAGAGCTGTGGGAAGTGTGCCTGGTGCTGTGCAGCCAGCCCTAGTTAATGCTGGTTTGCACCATTTGGTAAGCTTTTGGGAGCTTCCTGTTGCAAACATAATGGGTTAACTTCCTGGGTTCTGCCCCTGGGAGCTGCGTGGTTCCCTGCCGGCGCGATGGGGTGATGATAAAGGCAGGGCTGCTTTCTCCTTTTGCTTTGTGGGGAACTAAGAGTTTACGTGGAGACGTCCCGTGGGAAGCAGATGGGTAGGAAAGGCTCTTTGCTAGCAGAGGTTCATTCTGGGGTATGCGTGTGTTATAGAGCAATTGGTTACTCCGTTAATCCTCTGAATTGCAGCCAGTTTGAAACGTTTTGGTACGTAGAAAGGCAAGAATTTCAAGGCAGCTTGTTCCTCTGGGTTTCAGAACAGATGCCTGTTGTTGTATTGCTTTATCCCGTGTTTGTTTGATGTTTTTATTTTTAATGTATTCTTAAATAAACACAAAGGGAAGAAATGAAGAACCGGTAAGCTGTAGTGTGATGAATTCATTCCTCAGAAGGAAAAAAGTTCTGAAACAAAATATTATAAAGATTTCTGGTTTGGGATTGAAGCCAAAATTGGTTCTGAATTTTTGAACGAATGGCAGCCTGGCAGTGGGCCAGGGAAGTTCATTCTGATTAGCAAATGTCAGAGTTTGAGCCGGCACGGGGAAGGAGCCCTCCACTCATGTGGTTTGTTCCATGCCTCGAGGGCTGCCTGACCCCAGGCTTTGGTGCTCTTTGCCAAAGGGCAGAAGCGAATCTTCAAGTGCCAACTCAGATTAAATTCTCTTTAAAACCAGTGGGAAACTTAAGCAGAAGGGCTGAGGAAGACCTGATATTTATACCCATGAAAGAGCAAAGCTAATAAAAACCTTATCTTAAAATCTGCACTAGAACGCCAAACGGCATGCTGCTTTCCAGTGCCAGATTGGCTGAAGCTTTTGAGAAACAGAGGAACTGCTGAATAAGTAACTAAATAATGCATTAACAGGCATTTTAAAAATGGAACCATGGAAATGCCTTTGTTTGCTTTTACACTTAATCTTGGCTGTACGTAGGAATTGACCTGTGCAAGAGCACTGTGCTGATTCTCTGCCGACTCCACAGTGTAAACCAGTGGATTGAATCAGGATTTGTGCTGTTGTTTTCCTTGTGTAGTTGGCTACTAAATCTGGAGCAAGTCCCTTTAGTGCCATGCGCTCTAGTCCTGAGTTTTAAAGATGTACTTCTTATTCCATGTGTTCCAGAAACTGAGAATCCCACCGAGAGGGTGCACCAGATCCAGCAAATCATCGTCACTCTGCCCCGGGCTGTCATTGTTGTCATGAGATATCTATTTGCTTTCCTCAATCAGTGAGTCTTTCTTTCTTTCCTAAATTGCTCATTATCTGCCTTTATTTCAGTGGCTCTCTGTCTTCTTTTCTGTGAATTACGTTGGTATTGCCACAGAGCTGTATTTTGCCACTTCCTTGGCGTGGCCTGGCCGTGTGTTTGGGGAAGATGGCTTTGGGTGCTGGGGGGGCTTTGGTGGGACATCTTTCTGAGCTAACAGGGACAGAGGACGCCACACCTCCTAATGCGTGTGCTTGCAGCTTGTCACAGTACAGCGATGAGAACATGATGGATCCCTACAACCTGGCCATCTGCTTTGGGCCCACTCTGATGCACATTCCAGACGGGCAGGATCCGGTGTCCTGTCAAGCCCATGTCAATGAGGTCATCAAAACCATCATCGTCAACCACGAGGGCATCTTCCCCAGCCACAGAGAGCTGGAAGGACCTGTCTATGAGAAGTGCATGACTGGAGGGGAGGAATACTGGTAAGGAGCAGGGGCAGAACTTCATTGCATTCAAAACCCAGCAAAACCGGATCCCCTCATTGGGTTTATCTTCTTGTGCTGCAAATTAGGAGTGAATCTGTGGCAAAAGGGAGGCCTTTGGCAGGATTCATGATAAGCAGAACTGACTCCAGCTGCCTGAGTGTTAAGGGCTGTGGGGATCAGACTCCTGAGAGGATGAGTTGTGAAGAAAGCTTTGACCAAGTTCAGATGTAATATCCAGGGCAGCTGAGTACAGTGCTGGATGGCTTTGACTCTGCAGATGCAGCGTGCCCTTTTACCTTTATTTTTGACAGATGTTACAAATAAGGTATGCAAGAGCTGGGGATAAAAGATCGCTGTGAATGAATAGGGAATTTTACTTGCTATTGCTTGTTTTTATTTTGCCAAATATGAGTGGCATTCATGAGCAATGGGACATGAAGTTCTGGGCTTGAACTTTGTGGTGGTGCACGTGTCTGCCGTACTCAGAGCAGTTCAAAGGTTTGCTGTGATGTTGTAGGACTGAGATATTTATTTTAAAATGAAAACCAGAACGCCTTTGAGTATCACTGGGGCTCCTCAACTTATTTTTGCCTTGGGAACAGAATCTTGCTCTCTCTTTTAAAGCACCATGTGTTTATTTCAGTGACAGCCCTCACAGTGAGCCAGGCACCATTGATGAAGTTGACCACGACAATGGCACGGAGCCACACACCAGTGATGATGGTGAGCACACACATGAGCTACAGCAACTTGGATCTGTGTTAGGAGGACTGTGTCTATAGGAAAGTAGTGTGCACTTTGCCCCTCATCGCATCAGGCTGGGCTGTTGTCTGGCATGCAGATGTTTCTGTGTGTTTGGCAGTGTATGTGCATGTTAGTTAATGTTGCTTATAGGTTTTCCTCGTAGGATGTGCAAGGACTGCAGTCTGACTCCAGGGAAGAATACAGGAGTTGTCTTTGTGGACTTCATATCGATCACAAAGGCGAGTGCAAGACCAGGGTGCAGGCAGAACTGGGCATGAGGTGTGCTCCGTACAAGCTGTGGTGCCCAGAGCCAGAGAAGGCAATGGCCTTTCCCTGCCCATGAGTCACCTGCGACTTCACTGCAGGCTGGGAATCGAGCTGGTGCTGCTGAGAAACAGCAAATGTCATCGCACGGCAGCAGTGCCACTGCGGGACGGTGCTGCACGGCAGGTGCTGCGTAGCTGAGTGCTGGTGCCTTGCCCCTGTGCCTCCTGTTCTGCCAAAAGCTGGTGCTCCCTGGCTGGCCGGCTGCAGTGGGGTCTGCCTGCAGGGGGGAGCAGGCAGCTGGGTTGGGCAGAGTGCAGCCTGAGGTGTGCCTGCACAAAGTACCTCTGCTGTTGCCATGTGATGAACAGCCAGGAGCAGGGTGAGAAGATGAAGGAGAGCAAGCTGCCTTTCAGCCAATTTTTTGCCCGGGTGGCCACATTAATAATAGCTATGGTTGGAGTTTCTGGGTGATTAACTGTAGTGCAAGTGTAGAGAAGAGCATCTTTATTTTGTGAACGTATGCGTTCCTTCTTCCCCTCACCGTATGCACCCCTCCTGCTGGGAAACTCAATATTGCATCTGGTTTGGAAAGCCCTTCTGATAGCCTCCTCCCTATGTCCTCCAGAGAGCATTCTGCATCGATCCCGTGGTGGCAGACCCAGGCACTGCCATGCTCACAGTGGTGCAGCCATATTTTCAGCTAGGGACAGTCTGTCCATGGAAATGACCATCGTGTCGAAAGGGGACGCGGTTCGTGTTCAGCATCTCCCACGTCCTTCAGTGGGTCCTGCTCTGAGCAGAGCAGCAGGGCGCACCTCAGTGCAGAGCCCATGGTTAGTGACAGCACGCATGGAACAGGGCGAGTTTCCATGTCCTCATGAGAACGTGGCAGATCTGAAGGAGCTGGGCTGATCTGCCTTGTCCAGCTTTGCTCTTGTTCCAACGCTGTTGGTCCTCATGGGGTTTAAAACGTTTGGTATCCCTGCAGGGTTATGTTAGCTGTTTGTTGTGGCTCCAATAGCAGTCAGAGCTGGCCGAGTGGTGGCTGCTGATCTTGCACCTCCTTCTGGGCAGAGAGATGAGTTCAGAGCTGATACTGTCATTTCTGTAGGGATCCCCCCAAGGGACATTTGTTATTCACCAGTAATTCAGGCCAAGCTGTCTCCAGGGTGAGGGAAGGAATTGAAGAGAATGTAATGGAGGAGGAGGGGCTTTGGGTGTTGTATCTGATACAGCTTGGTGAGATCTCAGTCTGGAAGATAATGGTGTTCTGTAACCAAAGAAGTCACTTTATTGGAAGAAAATATGAGTGTAGACAAAGATGCCATATGTACACAGGGAAATTTCAGCTGCTCCCCATCTGGTTTGCAGCTTTTTGTAGATTGTGAGCCTCTGAGAAACTCTAGGATGGCTGAAAGGACAAAAAGAATCGGTTGCTCTAAAAATAAGATGGTCTGTGCTCAGTGTAAGATGCTCTTGGGAAGCTTGGGCAGCAGGATGAGAAGCTGCTCAGGTGAGGTTTCCTCATTCTGGGGCTTATTTCACTCTCATGGTTGTCATACTGAGCTTCTCTGTCTGTGTTTCTCTTCCTTTGCAGAAGTGGAGCAGATTGAAGCCATAGCAAAGTTTGACTATGTTGGACGGTCTCCACGAGAGCTGTCCTTTAAGAAAGGGGCGTCGCTCCTCCTGTACCATCGGGCATCAGAAGATTGGTGGGAAGGGAGACACAACGGTGTGGATGGCCTCATACCCCACCAATACATTGTGGTGCAAGACATGTGAGTAAAGGCACTGTGCGCTGACCCGGGGTGTCAGAATCGCCCACCTACATGAGGTCCATCTTTAGCTGCTTAAATAGGTCTGGTTTTCCCAGATTTTTAATGACTTGAGAAATCTGGATCTGTTCTGGTATGCCTCTCCATGTGTTGGCTTAGATCGTCTCTTGTTCAAGCTGACATAGCCAGGCAATAAATACTGTCCTTGGTGTGCCTACACCATGTGTGTCCCGGCTACTCTCGGAAGCAGGGTGCAGATGCAGCACTGGTCTCTGTCTGTGTGTGCAGCTGCTGTTGCACGCTGCTCGCTCTGCCTGTCCTTTGTAGATGCCACTCCTGTTATAAGTACCACACCATTCATTACAGTGGCAGCCTGAATGGGGTCTCGTTTCCACAGGGACGATGCTTTCTCTGACAGCCTGAGCCAGAAGGCGGACAGCGAGGCAAGCAGCGGGCCGCTGCTGGATGACAAGGCCTCCTCCAAGAACGACATCCAGTCCCCGACGGATCACCTCGTGGACTACGGCTTTGGCGGGGTCATGGGCCGGTAGGGAGCTCTCCTTTTCTGCAGACACAGAGGTGGTCACTGTCACGTGCAGGGAGAGTCGGTGTGCAGGGCAGGGCAGAGGGGAACGTTCTGTTCCCGTGGATTGCCAATGTCGATCTTAACAACTAAAATGGTAATGCTGTCCCTTTCTCAGCGCTGGCTAAAACGTCTGTCTGTCCTCTTGCTTTAGTCTTCTGGAGCTGAAGGGGTTGAGTCTGATTTGGTCTGGCTTCCAGAGCTGAGATTGCCTTGCAGCATGCGAGCGGACGCCTGTATCTGACGCGCAGTGACCCGCTCTTGTGATGAATTCTTTGCAGAGTGAGATTGAGGTCTGACGGCGCAGCTATCCCTCGCCGTCGAAGCGGGGGGGACACCCACAGCCCACCCCGGGGGCTGGGTCCTGGCATAGACACTCCTCCTCGAGCGGCCGCCTGCCCTAGCAGCCCCCACAAAATTCCTCTAAGCAGAGGCAGGATTGAGAGCCCTGAAAAGCGCAGGATGGCGACATTCGGCAGTGCAGGGAGCATCAATTTCCCAGACAGGAAGGCCTTGTCTGACGGCCACCCGCTGCGATCGACCTGTGGATCCACCAGGCACAGTAGTCTTGGAGATCAGAAATCTCTAGAAGCAGAAGCACTTGCCGAGGTAAGAGGGTGGTGAGTGGCTCCTGGTGCCCACGGATCGAGAGGTAAAATTCAGGGCTGAGCACTGCAGAGCCCCTTTCATCTCACAGCGCTTCAGGGTGGTGGAGCTGTTGCAGCTGCAGTGGTTTAGAGATGGAAGCCAGCAGCCAGCAGCGTGCTGTCTGCTCCTCCAGCCCTGTGGCTGGTCTAACAGGAGGTACAGCTGCTCTACATTCCTTGCTTCTGTGCTACAGCAGGCAGAGGTGTTCAGTGCACCACTGAAATGCGCTGCCGTCCGCTCGCAGGGCAGGACGTGCGTGACCTGCATTGGGCACTCCATAGAAAGCATCTGTAAGTCAGCATTCAGTTGGTGCTTAGTGCATTTCAGGTTTTTTTGGCTATGTGTAGGACCTCAGATCCTTAGTCTAAGCGCAGTGGGATGTCCCCAGCCATACACGTGGTCCACAGCATCGCTGCAGTTTCATGCTGCTTGATCAGTGCACTCTGCTGTCAGCACAGCCTGTGGTCTGCTCTCCTTGCTGCTAGCTGGGGGCTGTCAGCCAGGCGCCACTAACCCATTAACAACTGGAGTGTGGTACTTCCATGGAGCAGGCTGCAGCATTCCTGTGCCTCTGTGTGGCCGGGGCCATGCAGAAGAGTCCCATGTGCCAGCACTTCCAGGCCACGTGCTGTGTGCCACTCCTGGCCAGGCACGATGGAGGTGGGAGAAGAATGGCTGCTGGAGACGCTGCTGCCTGTCACATGGAAGGATCTTCTGTGGGGCTTGGCAGGTTATTGCGTAGAACCACCTGCTTTCAGTGGGATAAGTAACAATAATGGCAGAAAGGAAGAACTCTTGCTGTCCTGTCTGCTTTTCCACCAATCACGCTCCTTGTGCGCTTGCTCTGCAGCACTCTGCCCGCTTCTCTGTTCATCGGGAGCTTATGTGTGAACCAGTGTCAGTGCAGGGGGTGCCTCCACAGGAGCAGGAAGTGCTGGGGGTGGAGGCGATCTGCCCCCTTTCCTTTCCTTCACTTTTTTTTTTTTTAAACTCTGGAAAGGATTCTTGCTCAACTGATTAAAATAAGCATTTATGTGAAGTTGGACTGAAATTGGTAGTCCTAAGGCTGAGCTGTGGGAGAATTATTTCCACTCATTTTCTGCTCAGTTTAATAAAATTAATTGGAGCTAACTTGATAATTAATTCCCTTCAGCTGAACGTGATCTAAGGCTTACTAAGTATTTTGTATACATGAGAAGACATAAGGACTTGTCTACACGAGGGTAGCGAGGAGAGTTAAGCGGAGTTACTTCTGGAATGGTGGATTCGATTGCTGTGAATCGCTTTTCAGATGGCCTCTGAGTTAAAGTGGCCTTAATTCATTTAAGGCTGACTGAAATGAAGCCAAATTAGGGCCTCTTCATCTCTGAGCGTGAAGATCAGCAGCCAGTTGTAGGCAATTGACCAAATTTGCTTTAAGTTTACATTTTCCCTTGGCTTGGGCTCCCTGTCTGACAGATTTCTTGGGCAGCCCCAGGGGTGCCGTGAGCCAGGTAGCTGGGAAGTGCTGGCTGTGGGGGGCCCTGGTTCTGGCGGGTGGGAGGTGGGGACCTGCTGCCCCTGTGCCGTGGGGGGTGCCTGGGGCTGCCTCCCCCAGCCCTGAGCCCCTCGTGCCACTCATCCCCGCACATCACCGCCTTTCGGCCGCATCCTGTGCGCCTGTTGGAGGGTACAGGGCTGTGGTTTGGGAGCGGGGGTGTCTGTCCCGGGGGGGCAGGGTGCAGGTACCGGGGTTGGTGTCACAGTGTCACGTGGGATTTATTGCTTTTAGAGTCGTGACCAAACCCCCACTGACATCCGAGCCAGCGGGCGCCTCTGTGCTGCCAGAGCGTGGCTTCGTCTTCTCCCTAAGCTCCCGCTTTGCACTGAGGGACTCCAGGGCCGGAGCTCCCCTGCAGCACACAGGGCGGGGCACCCGGGGCCGGGCGCGGTGCCGCGGCTCTGACCTCCTTGTGCCGGTGCGGTTGGCAGGACATCGAGAAGACCATGAGCACGGCCCTGAACGAGCTGCGGGAGCTGGAGCGGCAGAACACGGCCAAGCAGGCTCCCGACGTGGTGCTGGACACGCTGGAGCTCCTCAAGAACCCCCCGCTGGGCGCCGCCAACTCGGAGCCCGCCAGTCCCCTGCACACCATCCTCATCCGGGACCCCGACGCCGCCATGCGGCGCAGCAGCAGCTCCACCGCCGAGATGATGACCACCTTCAAACCGGCGCTATCGGCCCGGCTGGCCGGGGCGCAGCTGCGGCCCCCCCCCCATGCGCCCGGCGCGCCCCGCGGTGCAGCACCGCTCCAGCAGCAGCAGCAGCTCGGGGGTGGGCAGCCCCGCCATCACCCCCACCGAGAAGCTGTTCCCCAGCGGCGCGGCGGACAAGTCGGGCACCATGTAGCCGCGGTGCCGCGCTCGGGAGAAGCCTGCAGGCAGCGCCAATGGAGTGACGCAGCTGTGGGTGTGCAGCGTGGGCCCCGAACCGCTGGGACGCTGCCTGGGCTCACGGCCGTGTGGCAGAGGGGATGGCAGATCTGCGTGTCATCACTGGAGAATGCGCGTTACACATTGAAGTATATATTAAGAAGTGTACAGAATTTGGTGACTTTTTTAAAAAGTAGATTTACCTCAGAAACTGGCTCTGAAATGTCCTCGCTGGAGACGCTGGGTTGGTTCTGTCATTTCTTCCAGGCTCTGTGTGTGTGTGCGTGGCCCTGCATAGCAGCTGTGTGCCGAGCGGTGCCGGGCTGCTCCTGGGAGCTGGGCTGCACCCTGCACGGCTGGGGAAGCAGAAGGGGCTCGGCAGGCCCTGCTGGCGCAGCCAGGTACAGCGCAGGCCCTGTGCTGGGGCCTCAGCATCAGCAGCGGATAAGAACTGGCACCAAACCTGTGGTAAAGCATAAATAGAGAACTTACGCAGCCTGAGATGATTCTTCTTTCCCTTTCCCCGTAACACTTTTTTTTTAGTTTTACCTGTCAGTATCTCAACAAATGGGGCCGAAGGTGAGGGGGCTCCGGGGCGGCGACTCCTGGGCAGTTGCACAGCAGTACGTGAGGGTCTCGATTCAGATTGCGTCTTGCATGCAAAGCATGAGCCATATTTGACCATATCAGACGTGTAGCCGATCTGATGGGGCGACATTTTGCACTTTCTGTACTGTACTGTATAATGCAGCGGTTTGAGTTCATGCAAAGAAATCGACAGTTTGTTTTTCCTCGGAACGTTTAACCCAGAGAAAAAAGATATGCAGAAAGAGCTGGGGATTGCATGGGGTTTGTCCGATAGCCACATCTGTGTAGCGCTGAATCCAAGACGCTCTGTGCTTCTCCTGCAGTCTCCCTCCGTGCGCAGCTTTCTGCGCTGTGACCCGCGCTGTAACGCAGCCCCATCCCCACCGTCGCTCCCCGAGCAGCGCCTGACTGCCGGCCCGCAGCCCCCGCCCCCCCCCCGGCCCCCAGGCAGGGCGGCGGGGCAGCGGCGCGGCGGCTCCGGGTGCCGCTGCTGTGCGGGGCTGCGCGCCCGCTCTGCTCTTCGTCGCTGTATTTGCTTCGGTGCTGGGAAGTAACTGTTGAAGTGTAAGCTGTACAAAAATAGGGTAAGATTAGATGAAAGCCAATGCCTCTCACCGGATCTTTGCACTTAGTAGGTAGCTCAATGTACAAATAAAAAGTAACGTTAAAAAAAGAAATAAAAGCAGCAACCTGACCTTTCGGTGTACATAGTGGGGGAAAGTACTGTACGTAGTGGTCCTGTCGTTGTTCCTCGGTATAACGCTGTAAGGGGAAATGGTGTTGACGTGCTTGTCGATTCCCATCGGTGACATTTGTAACTCCCGCCGTCAGTTCCTATGGGTGTTTGTTTCTCTCCTGGCTTCTCCCCTCCCACAGCGGGCTGAGCCGCGGCTCTGCGGCATCCCGGCACCGCGCTGATCCGCAGCCGAGGGGGAGCAGAGCCGCTGTGCGCAGAGCTGTGCAGCCGCTGCCGGCCGCGTTTTCCATCCGGCTCCTGGAGAACGTTCACTTGGCTCTTCTGTTTATTTCCTTTATTTTTTAATATACTTTCCGAGATGACTTGGGAGCAAACTGTGTTTGTTGGGTTTGGTTTTTTTCCTACCTTCTTTTGAAGATGCGGTACAAATGCCAGTGTTTTTCTATTAAATTATTTCCTTTTGTTTTCTTTTGTTTTATTGTGGGTTTTAATACAGTTATTTTCTTAACGTTAAGTGCCTTTTTGAGCACCAGAACAAAGGCCTGGAATCGATGTCCTTGGAGCTGCGTCCCGATTTCCTTTGTACAGTTACGTTGTGCTGTGGCCGGTTGCTTTTGAAGTACTGCTAATTATCATTTTTGTTTTTTTAACGAAAGGAAGCCGAGACGTTTTGTTGAAGAGTAAGCAACCCCTTTTTAATACGATATTCCAATTGTAGTTTTAACTGCTGTAAATTTAGGGGGGGGGCGGGGGGAAATGTATTTTTCTGTAACTCGGCACAAAATGTAACCACACGGTAGGAGTATCATAACTGGAACCCGCTCATGTTCTGTGAGTGACTTTATCCTGCTCCTCGATATCTCTTCCAAGGCTCAAAGACTGGAGGCTCACCGAGTCCCGGGGCGGTTGGCTGCAGCCTGCAGGCGCCCGGTGCCCCGGGGCCGTTCCTGCTGAGCCCCGGCCACGGCCCGCGGGAGGTGGGGCCGCCCCGGGGGCTTCTCTGCCATGCAGAGCCGGTGCCGCCCCGGCGCCTGCGGCCCCCAGCCCTGAGCCCGTCCCGGGACTGCGGCCGAGCGAGCGTTGCTATGGGAGGCCCTCGTGCCCGGCCCTGGCGCTGCGGCGGCGGCGCATCTCTCGTCCTTCGGCTGCGGTGCCCGCTGCCCTTCCTGCGGCGCTGCGCCGTGCGCCTAACGAGCGGCGCTGTGTTTTCACAGTGTGGCAAGGGATGTCCCGAGGCCGATGGGCTCCTGGTGCTGGGCTGCGTGCTCTGCTGGGCTTTGGTTCTGTCAGGAAACCTCAGGAACTGCTGTGGGCTGCCCCTCGTCGCGGTCGTCGTCCTCCCCGTGGGTGTTGTCTCTGTAACGTGTGGTGCGATGCCGTCAGCTAGAGCGGTTGGGTCCTCTGTCCTGTGCGCTGATGATGCCGTGTAGATGGAGCCACTGCTTGGAGGTGGACTCGTCCTGTTGAATAAAACTGCTTAACTTTTCTCAAAATCACCCGTTGTGGTTTCAGTGTTTGCCTCCCTGCTGCTGCCTGGGGAGCTGCGGGGCTGTCCTGCATCCCATCCCTCACCCCCTGTGGTTCTGTGCCCCGCTCCCGGCCCTGGCAGCGCCTCGCAGCCAGCACTGAGCGCCTGCACTGCTGGCACTGCCTGCTGTGCCCTGTGGTGTGTGGAGCCCAGCTGCTGAGAGTGCAGATGGATGCTTTGCTTTCAGCCGTGGACAAGTGGGGAAGATGCGGGGAAAGGAGATGTAGGCCAATAAAAACCTAAAGCTTCCAGCAGGTGTAAATTCATACATTTCTATGGATGTGGGAGGACTTGCATGGATCTACACCAGCCGGGGATGTGCCCTGTGTTCCAGAGCTGCTTGTTTTTCATTTAAAATGCATTTCTGCAAACCCAGCGGGAATGTTCCCCAAAGTGTGAAGTCTTTGCCTGGAGGGTCCCTGCACCAAAGCTCTGGAGTGCAGGTGAGGAGGTGGGTGCTGCTGGGATGGGCAGGGATGCTGGTACTCATGCTGGGCTGGTGCTGTTCTGCTCTGAGCTTCAGCTTAGTGAGACATGCTGTCCTGCCAATGCAAACACTACAGTTGTCTGAACAAGATAGTAAGTCCATAAACAAGGGGAGGCAGGGGATGTTTAGGTGGGATGCAGATGCAAATGTTTAAAAGTGGCACACAGGGTGTAGGGGATGTCCTTATGGGTGGCCACATGGGCAGGGTGTTCTGGGATGAGCAGCATCCCTTCCTGGGCGAGGAGAAGCCCTGTGCCTGCCCAATAGCCATGGCTTGGTCCGTGTCCCCGGCACGGCGGTGATGGGGCTGCACTGCGTGGGCCTGGAGCTGCACAGGGGCGGTGCTGGGCCCCACCGTGCAAGCAGGGCTCGTGCATGGACGGCTCACCAGGTCCGTGCTGGGAGCGTTTGGGGCGATCATGACAACAACTGTTGCTGCTACCGCGCTTTCCCCAGCACTGAACTCTGAGCGACTCTAAGCAGTTTAGCTCGTTAATGTTCGTGAATCAGTATGAGATTATCTTGAAATGGAGAGCCGCTTTGGTGGGGAAGCACAGAGACAGACCGGCTCCTGCCTGAGAGCCGACTGCGCGTACAGCAGGCAGCCCTGAAAGGGGGCTGCGTGGGCTCGAGGTGTTGGGCGGACATCCACGGCTCTGCCAACGGGTACCGGGAGTGCAGAGCGGGCTGAGGGCTGGTGCGGGACCGGAGCGGAGCTTCTGCGCTGCGTCCCGGGCTCGCCCCGCAGTTCTGTCCCGGGTGGGGGCTGTGCAGCTGCGCGGGGCTTTGAGCTCAACTTCAGCTGCGAATTTCCGCGCCGAGCAGAACTCCGCCAGCCATCCGTGCGCAGCCGGAACTGCGCGCAGCCCCGCGGCCGCCAGAGGGCGCCGCCCGCTGCCACCGCGGAGCTCGGAGCGGCGCGTCGGGAGGGGCGGGCGGGGGTCGCGTCCGTCATCTGCGGGGCTCTGATGGAGGCGGCGATCGTCCCGAGTGCGCGCTGTCCGTCAGCAGCCTGTCCGTATGGTGCTCGTGGTACGGGATGAAGAGAACGCAGGAGCGAAATAGGAAAGAAACGGTGGCAGAACGTGGAGTGGTTAATGCTCTGAGCTTCGGCACAGAGCCCAGTGAGTGCTTTCGGTCCTGCTGGCTGGATTGAATGAGACAAATAATTATTAATTCTCCCCACCCCACATTTAAAATCAGTGAAGTGCCTTTAGCAAATGAGGGAAAGATTTTCCATCTCTCTCTGGAGCAGGAGCGAAGGGCACGGGGCAGTGAGCGCACAGCACGGCGCTGTGCCTGCCGGGACCGATCCCAGCCCTGCCCTCAGCTCCACTGCAGGAGCTCTGCACCTGTGCTGTGAAAATCAGCTCCCCCCACCTTTGTTAGAATGAGAAATTAAAAAAGATGACTGCTGCAGCCCTGCAGGCCGCTCTCCATTGAGACACTGCAGACGGCCTTCAGCAGGCGCTGGGGATCGTGGTGTTACCCATCTCCTGGAAGTACTGCAGCACGGGGGGTTGGAGTGTTTGCCATGTTTTCCCAAGGGAAAGGAGCCAAGCAGGCAGTGCGTGAACGTGGCAATGTCTGGCTGAGCCAACCCAGCCCTTTCTGAAAACTCTCCCATTTGTAGATTCTTCCCCCCTGGTGCCCCATAGCATTTACCTCTGCCCTCAGTTAGCCCCGACCCATCAGCATCGCTGCGTTATCAGATGCTCAGATTGGCTGTGCTCACTGCGCCCATCTCATGACAGTTCAAGAGAAAGTTAAATATTATTTCTGGCTGCTCCAGATGCTCATTCTGACAGCTCTGCGATGGAAGTTTCCAGACTGCTCTTCTGAGCTGTGACATTTTTTCCATTGATTTACACTGGCCTGAAACCACCGAAGAAGACAAACAAACCCTTAAAGGAAGAGAGTTTTCGCTGCACTTTCGAGGCACTTTTGCATGAGAAGCACGGAGCTGTGGTGTGAGCAGAGGTGGATCCCCACACAGCCCCCCCATCCCAGTGTGCCCACCGACCACATCCCACAGTGCCATGTCCCCATGATTGTGGAACCCCTCCATTTCAGGAGCCGTTTGTGTTGTGCTCATTCAGCTGAGGCTCCTTGCTGTCAGCCTGGTGGTGTGGTTTGGCACAGAGGGAGCTCTGCCCAGAGATGCTCTCAGTCCTGCATTACATGCTGCCAAACACATGGGCTGTTACTGGGTGCTGCTTCTGTGCTTCAGGGACGAGGAGCTGAGCCACGGCAGCTCCTGCAGCCGCTGCCCACCCCGGCTTTGTCAGTGCAGCTTTACTTTGAAGCTTGCAGGTGGCTTTTGGTGGAGCAGCGGGAAACAATGTTGTGCTGGAAGGCCGATGCGCAGGGAAACACTACGAACAGATTCCTGATGCCAGAACCACCCGCGTGCTCAGCACTACTGCTTAGCAATGTGACAAATGCCACATTTTAGTTGAAGCATAAGAGAGGGCAGAGACATGCAATGGGACTTTGAAAACCTGAGCTGCCAACAAGACTGCAAACAGAAAGGAGGAAATATGAACTGCTGATGAGTTCAGGTGTTGTCATTATCAGGTGTTTATTATGAACAGATGGGGTCGGTTCCGTGGCAGCCGGGCTGCGAGCGCTGCAGGTAACGGCACGGTGATTTCCACCGTAAGGAGCAACAGAGCCGAAGCGGTTGACAGAGACGTGCGAAAGGAAGGATGCAGCGCCAGGCGTTACCGGCACGCGGACCGATGCATTCAAAGGTGAACCGCGCTGCGTGCCAAGAGCGCTGCGCAGCGACGCGACCGCCGGCAAACAGCGGCAGCGCAGGCGAACGCGCGCAGCTCCGCTACGGGACCGCGCCGCCACCGCGGGCCGCGCGCGTGCGCAGAGCCGGGCGTCTCGGCAACGCCGCGCGGGACTACAGCTCCCGGCAGCCACCGCGACCGGAAGTGGCGCGCGGCGGCGCGCGGGATTCGGACCGGGAGCGGCTCGGGCCGCGCCGCGGGGATCGGGCGCGGGATCATGGCGCTGGCATTGCCCGAGCCGCCGTGGCCGGCCAGCCTGTCACCGCTGAAGGTGCGTGGGGCTGGGCGGGGAGGCGGAGGGAGTTGGGGGGCGGCGGCCCGCGGGCCCCGGCCTCAGGTGGAGGCTGCTGCGGAGCCGCTGCAGGGATGGAGGCTAGGCCCGGGTCTGTGTTTCGTGCCGCGCTATCGTGCCGTGCCATGCCATACCCGTACCCGTACCATACCGTGCTACCGTACTGCACCACCATACCGCATCATACCGTGCCGTGCTGTCCGCCGGGCACAGCGGTGTCCCAGCCGCTCACCCAGCCCGCTCTCGTTGCAGGCCGTGGACGATCTGCTGCGCTGTGGGATTTGCTTCGATTACTTCAGCATCGCAGTGATCATCCCGCAATGCTCCCATAACTGTAAGTGCGGCCCGTTCTGCCCTCTGCGGTCGCTGCCGCCCCGTCCCGCTACTCCGTACCCTGCGTGGCGCATCTCCCGGTCGTTACAAGGAGTGCAGGCCAAAACGCGGCGGCCCCGAGGGCTGACCGAACCTTCAACTCCTTCGTGTGGGTGACAAAATTATTAAGAAATGTCTGCGTGAGATTTTTCTCTCCCGCAGAGTTTCACAGGGCAGTCGTGGTTTGGCCATTTGTTACTTACCACCATGATGCACAGAGGTCTCTGGTTCTGAGCTTCCTTACGAAATGTGCAGCCCTTCCCTGAGTGGTTTGGGCAGCAGGGATGTTTTCCTGTGTGTGGCTGTGGAGGAGCAGTTTGGGGTGAGAGCTGTGAAGCGGACACTGACTTCTCTGACAATATGAAAACCTCTTGCTGGGGTCAGTGCACTTAGAGATCACCTGGTCCTGAAATCCTTCGCTTAAATGTCCTTCATTCAGCCATGAGGGTGGAACAAAACCCGATCTGTAGTGCTGAGCCCATGAAGTGTTTGAGGTACAGCTGTCTGTGGGGCTGCTGCCTGCGGGGTGCGGTAGCAAAGTGCTTCCCGGGGAGTCAGAGAAGAGGGAAGCCTTCAAATAAAGGCTTACAATTGTTTTGTTCAGAAACAGTAGCACTTACCTGAAGGGGACATTGTAGCTCGGTGGTGAAATCTGCTTTAGCTTGGCAAAGCTGTAGGCATTGAGAAGGCCGTGCCTGCAGTGGGCGCACTTTGCAGCAGGCGTGTCGGAGCTGCCCGTGGATTGGCTCTGATGCCTGTGGCTTCCGACGGGGCTGCCTGCCTTGTTTGGCAGGTTCTCCTCTGATCCTCCCCTGCACTTCTCAGCAAGCCTCTGTTTTCCTCTGTAAATCAAGATGTCCTGAAATGTTTCCTACTAGGTTGTCTCTGTGTCATTTCTTCAGTCCAGTGGACCAAAAAATCCTCTCCTGTTAATGATGGTTTATAAATAGATGAAGAGGAGATGCATCTACCTTTGCATTTGCTGGCAGAACTTTTTTCTGTTGATTTCTTTTTCTTAATGCCCCATTGTGGGGCTTGCAGCCATCTGTAATGTTTGCGCCCACTGCCCCTTAACGCCCCTCCCCTGTTGCAGTGGGTGGTGCTGGGCAGCTCTCCTGGCAAGAGCCAATCACGGCTGCAGTGCTTTGGTTGTGTCTTCAGAGACAGAATAGAAGGGCCGTTCCTGTTTCCTTCACATAATAAAAGCATCTGCTGAAACTCTCCAGTCGCATTCTGTAAGAGAAGTCTGCTGGAGAGTAGCGGTGCTTTTTGTCCCTTGAAGTGGTTATAAAAGCTCACGGATGAGCACTGGCAGTGGGGTAATAGCAGGGATTTATTGCAACAAAATGAAGCTTGTGGTGTGTTTCACCATAGAGGCTGCCGAAGGATCGATCCCCTGGCGGCGATGTGACTTGCTTTTACCAGGAAACGTTTAGGCTGCCTCTCACTTAGCATTCCTGTGCTGTTTCTCACCATTCTTAGCTGTTCTTCTCAGTAAACGTGTTGGCTTTGTTTGCCATAGAATCTGGGGAAAGAAGTATTTAATTCTATGGAAAAATGGCATAGTTTCAACACAACTGGTGTGTTGTGGCATAGCTTACATATGTAGATAGGAAAACATGTATATGTATATCAAAATATACTAACAAGTGTGTGTTGAACTGCGTGTGGAAGGAGACCTGTTGAAAGTCGTATCTTTTCTTTTTCCAGATTGCTCCCTGTGCATACGCAAGTTTTTGTCCTACAAAACTCAGTGTCCAACGTGCTGTGTGGTAAGTGGTTGTCTCTGTGTTGTTTTTCACCATCTCAGCACGCTGCTGTCTGCGCTGCAATTCTGGGTGTGTTCTACCACCTTCCCTTTCGTAGGCAGCAGTTTGGACAAAGTGTGGTGCTCTGATCTCTGTAGTAGGTGAATTTCTCTGGTAGTTCTCAGTCAGCAAAAGCAGATGGAGCACGAAAGCTCAGTTTTGGCTCTGAGCTGCGTACGAAATCTGTCATGAAGCATTCAGCGTTGCCTCCTGATTTGTTTAAAATAAGTCAAAATGTGAGTGCTAAGTTGAAGCATTTCAGTGTTCTGTGGTTGGGAGGCCTCACTTCCCATTCTTTCACAGCTTAGAAGCACCCACAGATCACACAGTGGTCAGTGCATGGGCTGTGCTGTGTGGCCTTCTGGGGATGGAAGAGCTGCATGGCAGGGAGAGGAGATGTGTCCTGCCAGAGTGAGCCCACGTGTGAGAAGCACTCTGCAGCTTTGCCTGCCCTGCAGCTGGCTGACCATTGCCATCTGACTCGAGGCCCTTTCTGCTCAAAGCACACAGCATGCAGTTTACCCGTGGCCCTAGGCTAGCTTTCTGTCTTAAGCCAGTGTGTTGTATTGAATCCTTACAAATGTTAGGCTGCCCAATCAGTGGTGCTTTGTGAGCATCGGCAAGGTAGAAGGCATTTTCTTCTGTGTTTGTAAAGCATCCACCAGATGAGACTTTTCAAGACTGAAAAGCAGAGCTAGCTGTAACTTTGTCAGTTTTCAAACATTCAAACAAGCACAGACTATTTGATGCATGTTTCTGGGAGTACATCTCACTGGTGCCTTCTTAAAAAGCATCACGAGTGGTATGAACAAGACCAGTAGGAGTTGAGTTATGGTGAAAGAAGGGCAAAGAGAAACAGCCAGAGAGATAAAAACCAGGAATTGCTTTAAAAGAATGAATTGAATGTGTGAAGCTGTCTCATGATTCCAGTTTGTTTTTCCATCTTCATCTCTTTTCATTCCCTGTTGCTTAAAGTTCTTGTCACATTGATTGGCTCCTTGTTTTGGTTTCCAAAATGATTGTAGTGTGGCTACAGTAGAGCACCGTTGGCATTGGGGTGCACTGGGTTTGCTCCTTCTGCCTTTCTGCTGCAGTTTCTATGTTGCTGATCACCTGGCAGACTCACAGTCCTCAGGCTCTTATTTTAGATGTTTTTAAGGAAAAAATGCTTATGCTCCATGCATTCTTATTCACGTTACAGTCTGGGGGGCTGGTGGCTCAAGCACAGGTCCACAGAAGTTACAGGACACGTGGACACCTTCAGGATACCTGCTGTTTTCATGGTATTTGACTGTTTGTTTTGCTTTCTTCCTCTCTTTTCTTCTCCCCTAACAGGCTGTCTCAGAGTCTGACCTGAAAAACAACCGGGCCTTAGATGAGCTGGTAAAGAGCTTCAGTTCTGCAAGGTATGCTGCAGACTTATGAATACTGTCTCTAGTTTGGCAGGCCAAAGGAAGGTTTGGCTTGGGGTGTTGTAATGGAATATTGTGCTTTCACCTTCTTTTCTGTTTGATTTGGTTCACTTTTGATCTCATCTCCTTAAAAGAAGCACAAAATCAATGTGACGTGCTAGGTGCATCCTGCAGATGTGTGAGCTCTGCTTGCTTTTGCCTGGAGACAGCTCTATGACTGCTCTGTTTTCTGCAGGGATTCCTACAGCTATGGAAGATGCATGATAGGGCACTTTTTACTGAAATAAATCTGGAGATTTAAATCACTGGGATTCTTGGCTTCGTAAGCAACAGGAAGCATAGTCCTTATGGCTTTGTTTCTTAAGGGAGTTTCTGTGTGACAAGGAACTAATCTTTTGTATGACTGCTATTAGATTTAATTGATTTTATTCCAAGAATTGAGATTCTGCAGTTCCAGTATTTTAGCTGGAACTCTGACTTCAGTGTTTCTTGCTGATAAGTGGATTACTGTATTTTGGTAACATCTAATTTCATAGGGAACAGGTAGTGCTGACTTGGATCCATTATGATAATGAATCTTAACCGTTAATTTTTTGGGCTGCTTTAATGGATCGGTATAAATCTTAGCAGAGCTAAGATCAATAACCTTTCCTTCTGTGACTCGGAGGTCGATCAATTTCTCAACGTGAAGTTGAATCAATGAGCCTGAAGGGGTGCTGGTGTCCTGCTCCTCACCTGGGGCGAGCTGTGGGAGCAGAGCTGCTCTGGGTCTCGCTGAGAAATGCCTGATGGTGAACGGCTGACAGAGGTGCCTGCTGAAGTGAAATGGAACAGGAATGCAGACAGCAAGCAAACTTTGCACCGCTTCAGATGCTGGGCACCCTGCGTTGTTCTCTTGTAGCCTGGCACTGCAGGCAGCTGTGAGTTAGGGGCTGCTTGGTGCAGAATGCTGTGTGCTGCTATCCATAGCATTTTCTGCCTAGATGTGCTGTACAGGACGTGTCTTCTGGCTCCCTTCCCCTGCTTCTGTTTCCCTTTGGCCCGCCCTAAAACAAATCCAAACTCCAGGGTCTGATTTTTGAAACGCGTAAAGTTCTTGAAGTGCGTCGTGCCTTGACTTTGAGCCTCGGGTAATTCAGCAGTTGTGAAAATTAGGCATTAAGGCTTTTCAATATTTCAAAAAATGCAAATACGTTTCGAAGTCAGGCCTGTAGGGAAAGGAAATGTTAATGCTTGAGTAGTTAGCGAAGTCAAAGCTGTGCTCCAAGGTCAGCGTGTGCGTGGGAATGGAAATGGTTCTCAATAGAGCCGTGCTGATCCCGCCGATCCGCGCTCAGCCTTCGGCCGTGTGTTTGCAGAGCTGCAGCTGTGGCGATGGGCTGCGCTCAGCACTGCTGCCTTCGCGCTGTGCTCGTGAAGGAGCCGAGCAGTGCATGAGGGAAGGGAGCACAGCGCTCTCACCTGCACCCTGCAGTTCCTGCTGGGGACCAAGAGCAGCCTGCGCTCTGCTCCCTTGGCTTGCCGTGCGGTGCTTCGTGCGCAGGGTTTCTCAGCCCTTGGCATGGCAGTGCTACGTGTGCCTCCTTTCCTTTATGAACGGAGTTTTTATCAGGTGTGGTGTGCCAGGATGAATGTCCGTTCACAGCTAAACTGAAGTAACTGCAACTGCTTGCCCAGCCCAAATATCTGTTGAAAAGGATGGGGGACAGAGGGGCTTTTGGGTTATACAGCGAGCGTAAGGACACGCTGACATCTTGTGCGTTCGTGTTTCACCGTTGAGAAGGTATCCAGTGCAGTTAAACGGGTTTGTCAGCTATGACACATGTATTGCTTTTGTGCCAGTGTAGTAAAACTTTATCGGCTGCAACCTCTCCAAGCTGACAGTAGTCTGTGTTAAATTCCTAAGAGCACAGAGAACGTAACCTAAGTGGAAGTAACTGGAAAAAACCATGCAAAGTGAGAAGCCCTCTGAAAGACACACTGTGCTAACATTTATCGCCTGAATCGATCTGTAGGTGAGCTGCATATCTGTGGTGACAATTCTGGCTGTCTTTGTGCAAGTGTTAGCTATTGCATTCAGAGAGAGGTGCTCGTACACCAGGGCTCTGTTCTGTGGCTCTCACACCACTGTCCCCCAGCTCAGGAGCCTGTCCCTTGGCACAGCGCGTCACTGGGTGCTGAGCTTTCCTGAGGGACAGCATTGCGTGGAGCAGAGCCCTCTTCAGAGGATCCAGGTGCTGTGAGCAGTGGTGGTGTGGTGTGTCCTGAGAGAGAAATGTGGTGAAACGGTGAATCAGGGGAAAGCCTTGCAAAAAGAGGCTGATGTGAATCTTGAATTCTACGGGTGCTGTCAGGCAGTGTGAGTACATGGTGATACGTGCCAGCTAAGGAGTATATGCTGGGAGAAAATCAACAGCAGTATCTGATAGGTGCAGGTACAGACTGCGTTACTCTGACAGGAGGAGGAGCTCTCAAAGCAGTAGAAAATGCACTGAAAAGATGAGCTGTTTGCCCATCTACCTGAATGGTTGGCTGCTGTATGGAAACCTGGCAAGTCAGAAGAAACCACCATTCTTGCATTTCTATTGCTGTGTCAGCTCCTCTGTGGCTGCAGTTTTAACCTGTAGGCTGAAGAATGTTGTGCATTTATCTGCAGCAGGTGAGATGCTTAATAATGCCTATTATTGCTGCTGATGGCCCTGGGCAGCAGTGCTGTGTCAGATGATGCTTTAGGATGAAATGTAGCCCTTGTCAATAGCAAATGTGAAGCAGAGCTGGGACAGGGTTGTGTAAAGGGACTCTGTTCATGTTCCCATTTAGCTGGCTCCTGAGTTTCCCGTGAAGTTGATCCTATGACAACAGTGGCTACTCCACTCTATATTTGCATCAGCTGGGGAATTAACCTCCTGAAAAACTTCCAGTCCATATCTAGGCATGTGCAGACAGAATAACATAGTTTTGCTGCCACGCTTAATTGTGCTTGTTTGTACTGTAAAAAGTCACAGTGCCTTGGGATGCATGAGAATTGCTACTGACAAATGTGCTCATTGCATAGGGTAATCCAGGAAGCTTGAACTCCAGGCTGGGCTTTGAGTGTAGCTCAAATATAACTGCACAGAATGCAAAGTGTGCTGAGCTCCGTGCTCTGTTTATTCACTACAAACTGATCTTAAAGCAGTGTGACTGTGGGCTCACCCACTGACTTAGGTACCTTCTCAAAACATTCAAAGATACATATTAATTAGTTCTTCCCAGATGCATGTTGAATCTTTACCTTAAAAGACTGGTGAGTTTTCCAAGTAGTTACCTAACACTGAAACGTCTTCAGCTGTGCAATCATAAAGCACACCTACATTTCATTCTTATGGGCAAGAAGCAGTTTAATGGCAGTGCTTGTTCCAAAGCCGCATCACCGAGTGTCTCTTGCTTTTTTTGCAGAAAATGAATAGTAATCCAAATTATGTCAACTCTTATTTATTCTTTCTGAGTTAAAAACTTTGCAAATTGAAAATCTAGAGCTGTGTGTCTCAGGGGCAATCCTTTCTGTTCTGTGAATGCTGCAGGAGTGCCATGTTGCTGCTGTGCTGGTTTGCGCTCCTTTCTCTTCAGCTCGGCATGCTGGCTAAGTGCAGGGATAGCTTGAAACAGCTGATGTCTGAGCAGCACCTTGTGCTGTGTTTATGTCAGAACAGGGAGGCCGTATACCAGACAGTTGTATGGTTTGGGGCCTTGAGGGGAGGCATAGAAATGAAACTCCACTCCCCCAGCTGCTCTCTTTTCACAGGCTTTGTCACCTCAGGGGGAGAGAATCGTCAAAATCCAAGCTTTCAGGTCACGGTGCTTAAATGAAAAGCATGAACTTACTGAGCAGCAGCTGTAGCAAAAATGCACGGAAGGTACCTTGTACTTGAGGAGGTCAGTGTGCTGTGGATGTGGAAGGCTTTGTGGTGTTACAGGCTTGCTGTGCTCTTTTGGGCTCATACATGTGTTGAGGGATAGCAGGCACGCTGCGCGGCGGCTTGTTTCTGGGAGGAGATGGCATCGTGCTGATGGCCCTGCCCTGAACACAGCCCTGCCCTGCTGCTCTGTAGTGCAGGGTGCACGGCAAGGTGGGGGCCCTGAGGTGCCCGAGTGCAGTGCTGCTGTTGGCAGCGGCTCCTGGACTCCTCAGTGTCCTCAGAAGCTGCCCCTTCTTCCTGCTCCTCCCGCCTTGTTACCCTGCTGTGAAGAGGATCGGGGGGAGGCTCTGCCCACCTCGTGGGGACAGAACAGCTTGGGGCAGGGAGGGCAGGTGTGCAGGCACTGCTGCATGGGGAGCTCAGCAGGAGGGTTGTGTGCAGGCTGTGTGAGAGGGCAGCAGGACATGAGAGGGGACCAGGTGAGGGGCTGCAAAGGTTCTTCTGGGCTCTGTGTGTGGGTGATGTGAACTGCTCTGTGCCTCAGGGTGTGCACCTTGTTAAAGCAGCCCCTAAGCGTGGTACCTGTGGTGGTCTTCTCACTCCAGCTACAGAAACAGTGGAGTGTTTGTTCCTGTTGTCTCACTGTCACTGAGGTGTGTAGGTGGGGTTACCTAATGCTTGGTCTCACGAGCTGACGGGTGTTTGGTTATTTGCTTTGGTGGGTGCCTGTTGGGCTGTGCTCTGGAGATCCCCAGCAGGAGGGGACAAAGAACACACAAACTTTCTGGTACGCCTTTGCCTCAGCTGATCCAGTGCTTGGACTGCTGTCCTGAAAGCAGTTATCTGCAACTCTCAAGTAAGGGGGAAAACTTGTTCTTTGCGTTCCGTGTGATATGTTGATGCTTATTTTATAACATTTGCAAAATGAAATGTAATTTGTTTTGTTTATAAACTGGGAAACTGATTTTTTGCAATCTGTAGAGCGTGGTAACACTGAACTGGGATGCTCCTGGTTTGTGTGGGCGAAATGATTCCCAAGTGCTTCGTGTTAGCAACTGCTCAGAGAGGAAGGAATGGAGGAAAAACTCCAGCTGTTTTCTGTTTTCAGAGAAAGAGCTAACAGAACTGTTAGATGTAGCTAACAGTTGTCTTCTGGATGCTTCCAGGCAACAGCTGGTCCAGTTGGTCTTGGATACACCACTGATTTCATCTCCATTGGCTTGTAGTAGGCGTGCAATTGGCAAAAGCCACGCCAAGACTTCCGCGTCTTCGCCAGTTGTAAAAGAAGAGGTGCCAGTGATTGACAGTTTGTTGAAAAAGGAGAATGTTTGTACCCTGACAAAGACAGATGGTCTGGCAGGAACAGATTGGAAAGTTTGCAAAACCGAGGAACATCGTAACATCAGCAGCAGTTCTCCAGAGGCTGCTAGCAGAGACAATAAAGCAGGACCACGAGGGAGTCCTGAAGGCACCAACAGTGGTGAGAAGCCTTCTACATCTGTGGTAAAAATAGTCAACAAAGGTGAGATACTGAATTTTTGCTTTTGTTCTGATCACTTCCCCACGTCTGTGGTTGCATCTGGCTGAGTGCGTCAGTCTGTGGCATCCATCTCCTGCACTGTTCTGATCTGCAATTAGAGCGTTGGCGTGCTCAGATGTTTCCTGTCTAGCTGGGTTGTGCTTCATTCACATTACTGCTACAAGCATATTCTTGATGAGGAAATTTGGGCTGATACAAAGTAATTAAACCGAGTTCGACTCTTACAGATTCCTTTGTATTGAATAACAACTCTTAAAAACAATGGTTGCACAACAAATTTGCTCAGTAATAAGTGAAGTCATTTTCTCTTCTTCCCTTTCACGAGCACACAGACACTGATGTTTGTTGTTCTTGCTTATCCTCAATAACCAGAAGCAAAGTATTTCATCACGTTTGTCATTTGAGGGTGCACCCACAACCAAACTGATCATGGTTTCAGTTTTGTTGATGTTCCTACCTATAGACTCTCTACAAGTATCCTGCTTTATATTCTGTAATCTTACGGTGTTAAGATTAATGTACTGAAGCATGAAAATGTTCATTTATACTAATCAACTACAACAAAATTGGCAGTGTCTTCGTAAATAAATATCGTGGCGGGCAGCTTTTCCATTTAGAGGCCTTAGAGAATCCTAGGATGGTCCTGAGTTGGAGGGGGCCGGTGTGCAGCTGGTTGGAGCAAAGCACTCAGACCTAATAGTTTGTATTTTTTTATTCTTTTAGCGATTTATTTGACTGGGACCTGGAAGTTCATATTTATTCATTAGCCAGGTAAATACTGCTTAAAACATAACACAGCTAGAAAAGTAGCTGCAGGAAAATAATGTCAACTTAGCCAGCTGCTATGTTTTCTAGTTCTATGCATCAGACTTGCTCATATTAGTAATTTACAACTAATATAAAATTTTACCTCGTTTATTCTTAAGGAATTGAATTTTTCACTTGCTGGCTGTTTTATGGCCTTAGTAAGTCCTCGAGGATGTGTTGCACAGAAATTGCTTCCACAAGTGCAAAGTAGTTGGTCAAAGAACAGAAAGGAGAAACTCAAAGAGGCAGTGCTGAAGTTCTCCTTGTGAGGATGACTGATTGCTGTGTTAACAGCTGAAATGCTGTACTCAATAAAGTAACAGGCTGCTGATAACTGTCGTGTTAACGTAACTGTCCTAATTAGTTGTAAGTCAGGAATTGCAAAGCAGTATTGTCAGTGAACTCTCAATTCCTACAGCATTTCATGGTATTCTTGCTATTGTGTTTTGCTTTGTTTTCTGAATCCAACTTGACTTTCCTCGTGATAATACAGAGGATAATGGGAAAAGAATCCATCTCATACTGTTCATTTGAGGTTAGCTTTTTGTTTTTGACAGCGTCCAGGATGTAATTGCCAAAGGCAGACGTTGTTTTTGAGTGTCTTTGCAAGTGGCCTGCAGAGGTATTTCTTGCTAATCTGATGCAGGAAGAGTTGTGACACGGGTGGGACTCTGTTGCAGGGGTTTGTGAGTCTCCAAGCAGAAATCATGTTAGTTTAGAGGTGCTTCTGAAAAAAGGACACCTGGTTGGGTCATAGGATTCCTGTTAGGTTTGCCAACTCATGCGGTGGCATGATGGCGAGAAGCATGGATGGGGACACAATGTTAACATGCACAGATTCCTGCTTTACTGCCTTATTGAAATAAAGGAAAGTGAAATGTTGCAAAAATGAAAGGCATTATCACAAAGATATGCTGATGTTTATATTAGTACTGAAGTTTCTTTGTACTGTGTGTATTATTCTACGATTTTACTACAGTTTTCGTGCCCTCCAGCTGCAGGGAGGAAGGTGAGATGCGTTCTGATGGTACATAGAATGGGGAGTATGAGTGCTCTGAAGATAAGTGCTAAAAGGGAAGGTTCCACGTAGATCTGCCTTCTTATTAAAGAACATAAAACCAAACTTGCAATTCTGGATTTTCATTTTACTCGACAGTTTTTCAGCTTGACTTTGGCTGAGACGTATGCAGCAGTAAAAGCACTCTCCCTTTCTTTCAGTGGACTGCCCTGTTTGTGGAGTTGCTATTCCAGAGGCATACATCAACAAACACCTGGATAGCTGCCTGAGCAGAGAGGAGAAGAAGGACCGCCTCAGGAGGTAGGAGAGGGCTGAGCCTCCTGTGAGCACGTGGAGTGCTCTGCACTGCGGAGCCCACAGCAGTTGCTGGGCTGCAGGGCAGGGCGTCGTGCTTCCCTTGCTTACTGTCAGTCTGAAGCTGCTGCATTTGTGTTGTTGCAGTGATCTGCCTCTTTCAAAGCAGCTTTGTGGATAACCAGAATTGGTGGTGGGTTTTGTTCTGTTTGTTTTAGTTTTAGGTAAGAAAACACTGAGTGCTGTTTTAAGGAATTTGACATAGGTTGTAAAACTTTGGACGTCGTTGTCATCGGGTTCCCATCCATTAGCATTACGATTTTATTCTGTAACACTTCTTCCCATTTTTCATCTGGTGAATGACTTGTTTCCTCTGAGTCAGATGGGCCAAAAGAGAATTGCTTCACTACTTGTCAAGTCAAAAATAACAACTGTACCTTTCTCTGCTCGCTGTAGTTATCTTCAAATTACTCAGGTTAAGGTCTTTTCTTTTAAGATGTTAAATTTCATAAGGTTCATGCATGTCTTCCTATTTAAGCATCCACCCTAGAGTTTGTTATAGCTGCCACATTCACATCAGAAGTGCAACCTTTAGTCTTTGTTACTAACATAAACATTGGCTGCTGTGGTTCACTGATCAGACTTGACAGCTGTGAGGAACTCTTACTGTGTGCAGTTTGATCCAGGTCCTATGAATCTTAAATTAGGAAGTAACTTTGTTAAAGCTCTGAATTTGCTCAGTCATGCTGAGATTGCAGTCCAGAAGCTAGAGAGTTCTGAAGATGAATAAGTGGTAAACTAATACGGGAATCTGATGTTACATTTTAATTTTCATTTGGGATGTTTTTACTGTTTCCACTGTTCCTAATGAATGAGAATAAAAGCCAGATCTCTGTTTGGTATCAAGCCCGCATCCCTAATAGAATTTTAAATTTTGCTTGTTTTGTCTAGACTGCTTGGGATTTAGGAAAGTATAATGCAAGATAGTGTTCCTAGGGGATGCCCTGAAAGAATACAAGTCAGCATTTGGATTCCTGGTAGGAGTATTAATTAAAAAAAGGGTTGTTTTCTTTCTCCTTTGCAGTTCAGCTCACAAAAGGAAGCCTATGCCTAAAGTTGTTTACAACTTGCTCTCTGATCGTGACTTGAAGAGGAAGCTGAAGGAGCAAGGACTGTCTTCCCGTGGGAGCCGTCAGCAGCTCGTTAAAAGGCACCAAGAATTTGTGCACATGTATAATGCTCAGTGTGATTCTCTAAATCCCAAATCGGGTAAGTTAGAAATACTAGGAAAGTTTGTATCATCGCAGGCTCTTTGCATGCGTTTGTGTTGCCTGGCTGTGCATGCAGTGGGGCCATTTCTTACATCTTGAATGGCTCTTGCTATATTCCATTTATACAAGAAGAGAATATGCTTCTCTTTAAAGATGGCGTTCGTCATCTCTCAGCTGTGCAAGTGATAGCAGTAATGGCGCAAAGACACAGACGTGTGTGAGAGACTTGGGATTTCTGGCTGTACTGCTCTGTATCTGACTGGAAGCTGATGGCAGGCAGCCCTTTGGAAGCAGCCTCTGGCAGGACCAGCTGTGATGCAGCTCTCTGGAGCAGTGCAGGCGCGGGGGTCCCGCAGCACTCACGCTGGTTGCTGGCAGTGCTCAGCCTGCTGCTGGCAGCACAGCCCAGGTGTGTGGCTGGGGAATGACGTTCCTCACCCCATAGCTGATCCCTTTTCTCTTCGTGTTTTCAGCGAGGTCCTGATGCGTGTTCACTGCTTCTTCCAGAAGCTGTCGATGCATCTGTGTGCATTCAGTGCTCCCAGTAGCTGGGATGGGTGGGCTTGGCCTCGTTGGTGTGGGCAAGGGGTGTATGTAGGGGTTGGGGTGGCACCCCCAATGTTCACATTCACTGTGTGCTGCTCATCCACAGCAGGGATGTCTAGGGCTAGCAGCACTGCGCTGCCAGGCTGGAGCCTTGTGCCTGCTCTGAGGTGCTGGGGCAGGAGCTCTGCCATGCACAGGGCCCTCTGTTGGCTGTGTTGGCATGCTGGGGGCTGCTGCTCTCTTGTAGCAGTTCTTCACTCAGTGCTTGCAATGAAGCATCACATAACCCCTATGCATACAGTTCATCTGAGCTAGCTAATGAAGAGTTCCACAGGGCACTGCAGGGTGCTTCAACTGGGATCACTTAAATAATGCAAAGCTTTTATGGAGTTCTGGCTCAGTGACTATTTATGAAGGGTGAACTATTAAACCAGCTCACACAGGCATGCATTTTCAGTGGTAGCAGTGAACCAAAGGTCACTATAAAATACAAATTGTTGAGCTTCTGTGGAAGCAGAGGTGCCAAATTCCTGGATTTTGCCTAAACCAGTTTTAAGCAGGTTTTATTCCTTCACAGCTCAATAAGCTTCTTGTTCTCAGGCTGCTTCACTAGTGCAAGTATTTGTTTTAGTAATCTGCATAGCTACCTCAGAGCTCTGTGACAATGATTAAGGGTAGAAACATGTCTGTAAAAGTAAATGTCAAAACAAACCCTGCAGACAGTGCTGTGCCTGTTTGTGTGCTGCTGAGGTGTCTGACTTAATGGTTGGAGGCTGTAATCCATCCCTGGACTATGGGTTTTGGACAGAAGCCTGCAGACAGCTCCGCACTGCCTTGGAGGAGCTGCTAGGAGGGAAAAGTAAGATAAGCGGTGTGTTTTGTTATTTCAACTTCCACTTAAAGATACACTATAGAATGAGAACTTTATAAACAGCATGCCTTTATGTCTCAGAGACAGCATAGTGTGGTAGAGAAAGATTCAGACAAGGTTCAAAAAGACTGCCTATTTCTATTAATTTAACCCAAAGGAAATGAAACAAGGGCTGCGGCCGTGGCGGAGCAATGCTGGCTGCCAGTGGATGTGTGCTGGGCACTGTTTGAAGCTGAGCACCGAGCGTGCGTGCGGCTCGAGGCGGAGCGGGCACTGCTGGCAGCTGCTGGCTTTGTCTCTGATTTGTTAGCAGCCGTTTTGTTCAGTGCTGCTGCATCCCTAACAAGTCCTGTCTAACGATCCATTTCTTGTGTTTTCAAACAGTTGCAGAGATTGTTAAAGAGCTGGAGAAGAATGAGAAGATTCGGGTTCAGCTTGAACTGAATAAAAGTGGTGAAAACGTAAGCTGACTGTCCTTGTTCCTAAATTGAGGGACAGGAGAAACTGCAGCGTGGGCACTCAGTGTGTCTGCCTGTCACTTTGTTATGGCAACTGCCAGAACTCTGGGCTGCATGTTGGACTTGGCGTGTACCATCTTGTGACTTGATTTTCTCTTATCAGTCGTTTGTCCTGGGCAGTTCTTAGTATAGCTGATATCTCTATGTCCAAACTGTTTAAGTAAGAGAACTTTTTTTCTGATTGCAATAAAAATTCTGAAGTAATGTTCCCCTTGGATGTATTGGAAGACTTTGACCCTCCGTGGTAGTGTGGGGAATATTTGGCTTTCTAGAATTCTCTAGGATTTATCTAGCACATTCCTTGCTTCCCTATTAGCAGTAGTGCCTGTTCTTTTCCCATGACATATGATACTTTTGTGACTTTTGGTGCACGTTTATTGTCCAGGATTAGGGAGAACTTCATGGCCCACACATGCCGGGTGTTACCCAGGGTATTTTGGTTTAGTCCTTTGTCTTTGTGAAAGCAAAGCAAGACAGCGTGTACTTTAAACATGTGTTACGTCTGTGGATGGGACACTAGGAGCTGGTGTGAGAACATTGAATGTGTGAGCCTTCCCCCAGTTAGTTTTTAGTTGTAAACTATGCAGCTTTATCAACTTTTTCTCTTAGTAAATAAACATTTGTGTGATTTCTGTAGAGCCTGACCTTTACAAAGGACCAGACAGAGGAGGAAATAGATGAGATTCACACCAGTTATCGTGAGTAAAATCCAGGTTTCACTCCATTTTCCTCATGAGCTGTCTTTAAAAAAAACAAACAAACAAAAAAAAAACAACCACCAAACCACCACCACCAAAACCCCTTTGTCTGTCCTTGGAGCCATCTAAGCAGCTTAGTCATTTTTAGGCTCAGTTTAGAAGCAAAGGTTCTTCTGAGAGTTCTATTGCAAGACTTCACCTGCACTCCTGGAAGTGGTGGCTACCATGGGACAGGAGAACAGCGTTCAGCACACATGAGGCCTCTCAGCTTTTGCCATGGAGGAGCAAAGCACTGAAGGGACAACTTGTTCTGGTGGTACTTAGGGGTGTATTTAAATCTGCAATATGGTCACATTTCCCTTGTTTCCTTGTGTTCTTCTCTTGCTTCGGGCATATAAATTATGCCATATTGCAGCTAGATTTAGCTTTGTTGATTTTAGTTGGGTTTCTGTAAAGGCTAAATAAGGGCCTAGATCTTTAGCAATTTTTTCCCCTTGCTTTTTGCTTCTATTCCTGAGAATTTTTTTTTTCCAGCTGTACTGTTTGTGGTTTTGAATCATTCTCTTCTAATTTCAAGTAACTGGTTCATAATTGCTTTCTTGCCTTGCAGAAATCTCTAGCAATATAATACAAAGCAAAACAAAAAATGCCAATCTAACCAATGACAGAAACAAACAACCTCCCGAACAAACAACAAAAAAACTCCCCATGAACTTACTAATCCCTCAGTGGGGTATCTTTCCCCAGGAAGCTTAAACAGCTCTAAAGAGCAAACCCAAAGCACAGTGCTTGGTAGCCCTGGAGCAGCTGCCATCAGTGCTCCACTCGCTGCTGCCTTGTGGGGTATAACCAGCACTGTTGTCCTGGTCAGGAGCCACCTTCTTCCCTGGGAGCTCAGCAATGGCACTGCGATGCTCCCTCCCATCCCCAGGGTCACCTCCTGCTTTCCTTATGGCCAGGCTTCTATTTCAAGCTTTGAAAAAGAAAAAAAAATGCGTAGGAAAAAAATGTAATCTGCTGCGCCCTCTGAGTCTTTTAATTTACACTTGGATTCAGACACTCGGTGATTTATTGTCTGGTGTTTGAAATATTTGTAATTATGTCTGCAATTGTTTTTATTACTGAAATACCCATGGTTTTACGAGCTGTACGTGGTACGTAGCTTCAGCACAGCTGTGATTTATGTTGCATCTGAGCACTGCCTTGTATTGGCAGGACACTTATTGTGATGTGAAGACCTTTGTAGATGCAGCATGAAACAAAACAACAAAAAATAGTAACGCTGGAAAAACTGAAGCACCAAAGGGATTATGTAATAAATATGCCATGCTTCACATACAAGCATCTTGGGCAGGAACTTTTTTTTTTTTACTACAAGGAGTTGTTGACCTTATGTGGAGTCTTCAGCTCTACCAGGCGTGAGTAAGCTCTAAACAAAACATGAGAAAAGTATTTCAGATGTGTTTCCTTGTGTGGAACAGAACCTGACAGGAGGTGTTGGGGAGAGGCCAGGCCTGGCCTGAGGTGGGAGCTGTGGGAGCTCCCCCAGCCCTCAGCTTGCCACAGGCTGAGGATGCACATTGGTTTGGTGCTTGTTCTGTATGCTGGGGTTCTTCCTGGTCCATAAACGCAGCCTTAGGTGCAATGCTAAGTCCCAGCTAGAAGCAGTGGTGGAGCACCTGGTGGAAGGCAGGGCCAGCCCAGGGGAGCTCAGGTGCATGCAGTGTACCCAAGTGACTGGAAGAGTGGAGCCAGGATCCACCCCTTCCCAGACCTCTTTTAAGGGTTGGCAGTGGAGGTGAGGGCATCTCTAGAGATCCCTGTGTATCTGAGGCCTTCTGAAGATAAGCAACTTCTTTGTTTTATTTCTGTGCCCTCTTCTTTTGCATTTGAGCAAAACCTTACTTGCTGCTCTGCTGTCATTGTTGTGCTTACCATCTTGTTATAGTGGAATTACTTTACTGCAGAAATGGGAAAATCCACGCTCTTTCTCTCTAGTTGGGATGCTGCCCCCTGCTGTGAGGTGGTAAAACAAGAGGCGTGCCAACCAGGCTACCAAGATGGGGCTGATAGCCTCGATTAGCTTCTGTTAGGTTGTTTGGGAAAGTGCGCCTTGGCAACACACGGCTTCCCTGGGGCTTGTTGTCAGTAAGGTCAGTCTCAAAAAGCAGAGAACTGGGAATTGCGTTTGGAAGGTAAATCAGCACAGAATAAGAGATGTCACAGTTTCTGCAGCTGGTTACTTGCACTTTCTGTTGAGCTGTTCAGGCACCAAGGTTCTGTTTTCCCTTGGCAAAGTGCTGTGCAGCCCTTTGTGCATTTAGAGCTGATGGGTTTTTGTAAGGTGTTTGTGCGTTTAGATTTTCTGAGCAACACAAGTGAAAAATGCCCTCTGAATGGCTAATTATTCCACTGAGTAATGCAGCCTCTCCATCTAATTCAGGAGAGAGGTTATGAATGAATGCAGTGCTACAGTATTCAGAAGGAGCTTGAAATCTTCTGGTGTTACAGGCTGTTACAGTGACAATTGCAGTACTTAATGGGTTTAGTAAAACAAACAAACAGAAACGTGGTGATGTTAAGAGGAAACAAACAGTTTTATTCTGCAAAAACTAAGGTGTTTTTTTTATGCAACTGTCTTGGCTGCTGGGCAACCCTGAAAGCATAAACATGGATTTGGGTTGTTGACAGAATATGGAACGCTGCAATGAGGAGTGAATTTTTGTTTGCTGTAACAAAAACGTTTTTGATTCAGTATTTTGTGTTTATTTCATGTTCTTTTCACTTGTTTATGGTATGCCTTAGGAGTTCTGTGGCACAGGTCTGCCTGCTTGTTGTACAGCAATGCACTTTTATGTTCCAGGAAACAAACACAGAAGCGAATTTCAATTTTTAGTGGATCAAGTAAAAAATCGGTGGGAGAAAAGTGGTAAGAGGAAAACAGAAAGCACACAAAAGAAAAAAGAAGGCACTTTCATAGGATTACCAGCAGGCACAGGTTAGTGATGCCTTTTAACGTAATCCCTCTCCACCTCCCTGCCTCCCGTGCTGATCAGTGCATTTCCCGGAGAAATGTTCTTTCCTCCCCTCCTACAGTTCTTAACCATGAAACAAATGAACACAAATCCCAAACAAACATAGAAATCAAGCAGAGCTTAAAGAAATGGGCTGCCATTGTGCTTAAGAATCACACTAGAATCAACTTGTAATAAATGTGCAGTGTGTTTGATTTTAATGACTGTGTACACGTGTACTGTATCAGATGCATATTTGAACTAGCTGTTTAAATGGGGCCTTAGGTTCTGAGCCACACGTACCAAGTTAGGAACAGGCATGTGATGGTAGGCATCGTGGAAATGAAGGTGCTTGTGGGTATTACCTGCTTTGCTCTATTGGTGTAATAAGGAGTCAGTAACAGAGAACTGTGGGCATGTTTGGACTGGGACAAGTGTTTTTCTCGTCCTGAGGTTGAAGGAGTAAAGTACTTCAGCTTCTTCTAGAATGTTTATACAGTACATTGCCTTTCTTTTTAAGTTGCTTCGTTTTGTATTCATACCCTTCAGCACAGTGAGAAGTGGGAATGCACAGCTGCACTCACTCAGTTCTGCAGATATGCTTGGAGTTAGGAGCAGCATCCAGCCTATGTTTGTTGTCCTCACTGATGCCCACAGCATCAGAGAAACACCTCTGTGTGCTTTTAACTTGTTCCTTGTAGTTTTGTTCAGTCTCATTTGTTTTATGGTATTGTTTGCTGTGGCAGCGTGCAGTTAATCTTTGAATGTGTGCTTTGGAAAAGCAGTCCTTGGCCTAATATCTGTGGAATTGCAGCGTGTTCAGGATGCTGAATTTCAGAGAGCATTCCATTGGATGTGCTGATGTCTGTAACCTTGGGGAAGTACAGCAGTTCAGCTGGTAGCAGCCCTTGCACGTCCTGTGCTGCCCGAGTTGAGCTGCGTTCACCTCTGGTGTGAGGCTGTGTCCTGTGCTTCACCTCCAGCAGAGAATAAAAAGAAATGGAACTATCAGTGGAGTAGTATGAATTCGATCCTTATCATTCCATGCAGATCTTGATGCAATGTGTAATCCTTTCCCTGCGAAGGGTGAAAGGTAAGGAATCTCAAGGATGAAGTTTGCCTCATTTGGTGTAACTTGTAACTACAGCAGAGACAGGAGCAATGTGCTGTTAGATAATGGGATCACAGACTGAAATCTTAATTTCTTGCTATGATCAGTGGAGAGTTTGGTTCCTGTGAGTTACCTTTTCATTGTGCCCTGAACTGCAGGCTTTGAGAAGCTAAGTGAAGCCATGCAGCTTTTCCAAAAGAAAAAATAGGAGGAAATACCTGAAAAATTTTCAGGTAGAAAATAGCTTGCAAGAGTTGTATCATCCTGTATCATGCTGACTTAAGATGATGATGCCCCTTCATCTGGGGTTCTGACAAACCTTCAAGATACTTGTTACTCTTCTTGTGCACTCTGTGATCTTTAAAATGTTGCATGCAAGCAATCCTTGAAATTAATTTCCCTTTTTGTGCTGAACAGATGTACCCAGTTGGCTGCTTATAAGCCACCAAGAAAAGCATGAAGACTTAGGGGTGAAGGAACATAAGGCTTAAGGCCTTTTCTTCCTCTGTGTTTGTTATTAACAGCACGTACCTTTTTATTAAATTGGAGATTGCAACACTGAAAGAAAGAAAACCAGCACTGGTTTGATGACTTGCCGTTTGAAAACATTGCTTCCAAGAAGAGCAAAGGCTTTGTATGCATTCCTTACCCAATTATTCGGAGTCTGAAAGAGGTAGATGGTAATCCTGGAACTATGCAGAGTTAAAACGTTCTTTTTAAAACCTTAATGTCTCCCATTGCCCCTAACTGTAGTATTGATGGATGTAGCTTATATCTCTATTAAAATCTTGCTTTGTTGCAGTGACTTTAACATCCCTTCCAATTCACATGATCTTGTTTTACATCTTCAAACTTTAAATAATAATAATAATAATTTCCAGTCTGCTTTTATAACTGATAAAGTAGGATTTTGCACTGCCTAGCAGAAGCACCGTAAGAAATTGATAAATACTTTGATGTATCTATTTTGAGCTGTATTATTGTACTGGGCCTTTATTTTTAATCTCCTGATGTCAGTAATGCTGCATTAGTTAGACAGCTGACTCACTGTAATCTGCTGGTTGTTTTCAACTGACAGAAATATGCTCCTAACAATTAAATATGCCCTTTAGCACAGGGGAAAGGCAAACCCTGGCTGAATTTATAGATTGTGTAGCTATTCCACATTGTTGCTATAGTTCTGTTTGGCCAACACTGTCAGAACACTTTGTAGAGGTACAAAAGTGGAAGTGGTTTGAGTAGAAATATAACTTGGCTGGTGTGGGTGCAGAGAACAACTCTGAACTGCCTTAATGAGAATTATTAATGAGATGAGTCTCAACATGGCTTTAGTATCCCTTGCAACTTCCTGGTTAAATAATCCCTTGGAAAGGACTTGTGGGCAGAACGTAAAAGCAAGTTTTCTGTTTTATCCCACTTCCTAGTCCGTATTCTCTACGTATGTAGAGAGGTAGGAGGCATGTCTTGAGAGGACTGTACATCTCCTAATAGATAAAAATATTTGATAGGAAAATAATAGAATGGCTTCACAGTTTGTTTCTGTTGTCTAGAAATGTTCCTTCCTATAAAGATAAATGGAAATACCAATGATCTAGACTGACATTTCATCTTTCTTGCATGCATGAGGAAATAAATCATTATGTTTCTTTTATTGAAAACAAGCCTATTATCTTGATCTGTGAAACTCTGAAGCTATCAAGATGTCTTATGCAATGAGCAGAGTGAATTGGTTGCAAGGACGGAGAACGGGGCTGTCTCGTTAAGTGTTTGCTAATTTCTGAGATGTGACAAATCACCTTACCCTTTATTGCTCTCCTTGTTTTTATTTGAAACTCATAACAAGGGAATATTTCTGATTCAGGCTCTGGTTCCTAGAGGCTATTTGTTGTTGCTGTTTTTTTGTTGCTGTTGGTGATGGTTCTTTTTCTGCCACAGTTAAAAAAAAAAAAAAAATAAACCTTTGAAATTGTAAGAGTTTGGGAAGTGAGTGGGAATGAGGCATCAGTATTCAAATGCTCAAAACTTGTTGTTGTTCTTAAAATCTGTCTTCAGGCAGCAAAAAATTAAGCAATGTTGTTTTTCTTGATAGGGGAAGATCCTGAAGAGCATCACTCAGCTGCGGCCCTTGGAGAAGCCCAGGTTCTCGAAGCAGGAACTCCTGATGGCAAAAGAAGTGACCCTCGTTCCCCAGAGGAAGGGCAGGGCTCGGTCTCTCTTGCATTCTCAGAGTCATCTGGATCATCGAGCAGGTCAGCACAGGAGAGCCTGTTCTCATCGCTTTGTGCTCTGTTAGAGCAACTGGAGGAACTTTGGCACCAGTACTGGGCCTTTTGTATCTATACTTCATATCGTAGAATGGCCTGTGTTGAAAAGGACCATAGTGATCATCTAGTTCCTTCCTGCCTCAGGCAGGGTTGCCAACCACCAGACCAGGCTGCCCAGAGCCATGGAAGGTGATCCTCGGCCGTGTTACTCATTCCTTCTCTTCCATGTTTCTGGCTGTGCAGTTGCTCGAGGGATGCAGCTGAAATGCATTCAGATTCACTTAATAGTTTACTAATGGCTTGATAGAGGCACTGTAGTGGAAACGTTCCTTTTTGTGCAGAAAAGTGAATGAAATGGCTGCGGGACCAGGAGGATGTTTGATGTTTCTCTCTTACTGCATCATCTTCCCTTTTGTTTGAGGATTTATTTGAAGAGGTTCAAAAACTGATATAGCCTAAATCTTTTAATGGCTCTTTGAGCCAAGTATTGCTCTGAGAAATAGAATTTAAATGACCCATTACTTGCAGGCAGGGATAGAATGTCACTGAACCTTGAAGTCCTGACATCCATTTACTTTTCTTTCTTAATTCATTTAGTTTTGCTTACTGAAATGGCTTTATTTGGTCACAGGAAATGAAGCATCAAGGAAGGTTTTATAAATGTGAAGCTTTATGTTTTTGGTTCCTCAGTGCTGGTGTTATTGAAAAGACTCAGCAGTTACTAAGACCTAACTACATAGTTTTTAAAGATAGAGTTTGTGTCTGTTGAAAACATGTGCTTCACAGATCACAACTTGCTAGGTACTGCTCTATCGATTGATGAAGATGACTGATGCTAAGATAAACATCTTTTCCAGTACTGGGTGCTGTAGGCCCAGCTTCTAGGGGAAAAGGGAAAGTAGTTGAAAGATGGGATAACTGTTTTTTGGTACAAACCCTGGCCTGCACCTTGTTTGGTGCACCAGAGAGCAGAGCCCTGTGCTGGCAGGACTGGCACCCCGAGAGCATCTCCATGTCTGTGCTGCTTGGGTGCAGCAGCTTCCTTTAGCTGCTCCATGCAGGACCTGCTCTGAAGGATGGCTCAGCTGGGAGGAGCAACTTCTGGGCCCTTGCTTGGAGGGAAGGATCTGGCTGTGGTGCTTTGTCCCACAGGCTGGTTTCATGTGCTGAAACCTCAACTTTGCAATTGGCAGCTGTGGCACTGGCTGTTGTGCTGCTGATGGGAGCTGTGTGGTGGCTGGGCCGTGCTTTGGCTGTGTAGCAGCAGTGGATGGGAGCCCAGGCAGAAGCTCTCCAGACCCAGGTGTCGTGCTGGAGACGTGCACATGGTACATGGAGCTGCTTCCTCCACTGGGTCTGCAAGGCACCTGCCCTAGGGCTCTGATTTCAGCTGCACAAAGTAAATGCCCTTCACTTGATCCTATCCAGAATTTCAATGAGATGTTCCCGTTTCATTCTTTTTTTCTTCTTCTTCTTTCTTGCTTGCAAGCTCACCTTTTAGCATTAAGGACCCTAGAAAATCTAGAATTTTCATTTGACAGAGTGAGAAAGTTTTCCTTTTATTAGCTCATCCAAGGAGTCATTAAATCTGCTCCGCTGCTAACTTGGTATATAAATGATGTCCTGAGTGACCCTCCTGTGGCCTTTGGCATCACAGTTACATTTTCGTTCTTTACCTTTCTCTGTCTGCAGACTTATGTTTATTATTCTCAAGTCTGGGTGAGAGTGTGTTGAAGAGACTGTTGGCTGCAGGGTATCAGTGTGCCACTGCTGCTGATGGTTTGAATGTGCTCTCATAAGGCAAGTTGGCAGATTTTGTTGGGAAGTGCACATCTGTTTGCGTCATGTCTGGCTGAGGACAAAGCTGTTTATTCCTTCTTTTCATGTATTTGCTCTCTCCAAATGAAGTATTTCCATAGATTTCTTGACTCAAACACAGGATCTCACAGCTGTAAAGACCATTCAGTATGCCTCAGATATTTGGATCTCTTTAAAAAACCAAATGTAAGCCAACAAACACACTTACTAGCTCTTTGTGGCTAATTCTTTGCTTCAACTCCTATGGCACAGAATTGCTTTTTCAGAATCTCTCTGGGACTTTTCTCTTTGCTTTCCTACTTTGTGCATACTCTCTGGTTTGTATGTGCAATGTGTTTATATTTGTTTAAGTTTAGTGCAGTTTGCATAACCTTAAAAGTTAGCTTCTGTGTTGGTCAAGAAGTTCAGTGCAGTAGTGCTGTGGTTGTGTTTATTTTTCCTTTCTTTTCTGCATTAAACTCAGCTGACCGGCTGCTGGGCTCTGTGGTGTGCCTGACCATCATGGACTGTAGGTGCTCATCCTTTATAACATGGCATCTTGTTTTTTTTAGTATATATTTGGCTGAAATAGAGACGAAAATAGCAGCGATGAGGCAGGGAAGCCTGGCTGGATGCTGTGTGGTGCATGGCCACTGCTGTTTGGCTGCAGTGTGCTCCTTGGGCCAGGCTCATCCTTCTTGCACTGCTTTGCCTGTGGCTCTGAGCAGCAGCTCTGGGAGCAATGTGCCTTTTGGCTGCACTGTGTGTGTTGGGCTGTGCCTCGCACCCACGCTGTGCTGTTGACATCATCCGGGTCCATTTTAATTAGTAGCATTAGGTCATGATTTTCAGAGGTTGTGGAAAAACAGTCATATAAACTGCATGAAAGAAAGATGTGTTGTGTCAGTCTCTGGCTGCCATGGAGTTAATGTTCTGTGAAGTGCAGTGAAAACAAAAGAAGAATGATTTAGAGTGGGGGTGGTCTGTAGCATTGTGCTTTTTCATCAAGATACGATTTTCTGAGACTCGCATTTTCTTTCTGATAATAAGAGGATATCCTTTGACAAGGGGGAACTTATTTCACATTGAAATGTCAAAACTTGAAATATATTTGGGAGTCCAAATCTGCGTGCTGTACTTTTAAGCACAGAGAGAGCACTTTTCTGTGGAGGCCCGATGCTGTGATGCATTAAAAGACAATTTGGATTTTGGGCAGTGTATGGAACACAGCTGAACAGTCACAGAGGCGCAGAGCTGACGTCGTTGTTCTATTAATGACACTGCAGTGGACTTGGTGATTTCTACCTCCTCTCCTCATTAGAACTTCTACGCCTTTTCAATCCAGTACCAGTAGTTAAAGTTCTGCTTTGTACAACTAAGGGAGCAGTCAGACCATCCAACATATCTGTACGTCTGTAGCGATCCTGACAGTGCTGATGTTATCAGCAGTCACTGCTGTATGTGAGGACAGGAGAACTCTGCTGGAGGAAAGGTATCAGCCAGACGTGGAGGTGGTAGCATCGATCCGAGCGTGTTTGGTCTTTTCAGAAATGGATGATCCCACCAGTGAAGCCAAACGCTCCTAATAGATAAACAGCAGAACAAAGCCCTGACTCTTAAAGGATATTTTTCAAAGCTGTGAAGTCATTCATAAAGCTTTCATGGAACTTTAGTTCTCTATATAAATAGTCTCACTGCGTTCTTTTACTTTCTGGGACGGAAGCCAAGCTTTATGCAAGAGTTTAAACAATAGAAAAATTATAAAAGAAACTAGGTGGGACAGTGATAAGCCAGTTAACGAACCACACAGAGGAAATATTTTATTAAAAGTACTCTATAAAACTGAGATAACATTCAGTCATTTAAACAAATTATTTCGCTTTAAAACTGCTGTTAGAAGAGAGCATCAGTTCTTAGGAGCAGAGTGGAGGACTCTCAGCACAGGCAATACATCTTTGGCCTCGTCTAACGATGTTATATTGTACAGCAAAACAGGGTGATTTAATTCTGAAACACTGACTGAAAGTGCTGTACCTGCAGCCTGTGTAAATCTCTGCCTCTGGGATACACAGAGCTGCTGCAGCTCTGCCAGCTGAGCTCCTTGCCCAAGTCAGGGCTCTCGTTGGCACTCAGTGGGGCTCCTTGGCGCTGCGCTTGGCAGCTATTGATCAGGATGAAGGTCTGCATGTAGCCAGTCGCTTGCGTTGGCTTTAGCTGCTTTGCAGTAGTTGAGGTTTAGGTCATCAGCTGGAGAAGGCATCGTGTGCAGGCCGGAGCAGCATCCCCTGCAGACCTCTCACAGCCGTGGCTTTGCCGGAGCTGGCAGCACAGGGTGGCTACAGAGCTGAGAGGGCCTTCCTGGCACTGCAGGCTGGGATAACCAGAGTGCTGTCCTGGTCCTGGGGCTGACTGTCTCTGGCTCGAGGCAGTGCGCGAGAGCTGTTTTCAGTGGGGGAATAGCTGTCTTTTTTCAGTTCTGTTGTTCAGTTTTGAGTTAATCTTGTGCTGCTGTGGGCCAGAGGAGGTGAGCGTCAAGTGTTAGATGGGAGCATTCTATCTTTGATTTTTTTGGCTTCAAATGTGAGTCCATTGCATAAGGATGCTGCTGCTTCTCTGCTAATTCATACCTTTGTTCCAACAATTGTGAACTGTGATGTATGGGCACAGAGCTGCAAGGACTGTAGGTGGAGTCCTGGGGAGGCCATTGACAAAGGAACAGCTGCTGGCCTCTGGTTTGTGCAGGGTATGGTGCCTGCATAGGATAGCTGTCAGGACATCAGACACAGCTGTGGATTGGGCACCTTTGAGTCCTGAAAACAGACGTGAAGGCACCAGCACTCTGCATTGCCTTGGCTGCCTGACACCCTGCACACTATGGCTGTCCGTCGCAGGCAGGCAGGAGTTTGGAATGGGGGCAGGAAGGTACAGAAAAATGCTTCTCCTCGGTCCTTGTGGCTGGGCATTCACCTTCAAACAGAGCTGGTGACGTGAGAGAGCCTGCAGTTGGCACCAGCAGCGAGAACTGCTCCATGCACGTGCTGGAGTGCAGGGCAGGACAGGCTGATGAAAGGGCTCTGCTTGCTGAGCAGCCAAGAGGGAACTTAATCTGCCATAAAGCAAACAGAGACGTTTGCTCCTTTCATTTTTAGAATGAGACGTGTTATTCGCACTTGTCGGCTTTCTTCTCTCTATTTTAAGGTGATGTGTTTATCTTTAAAAGGCAAAACCAAACCAAAGCCTCACTAACAAAGGGAGAGCAGGTGTAAAATCCAGCTGATGATCAAGGAAGGAGCAGTTTGCTCGTTGTGGCCTGAAAGTGCCCCAAGGCAGCTGACCCTCAGCCTGCAGTGGGTGCTGCAGCCAAACCCTTTGTGCCCTCACTGCGCTCCTCAGCTCTCTGCACCACAAGCATTTACATCTCAGGGCATTGCTGGTTTTGCTGTGGATTTACTCATCTGGAATTCTCAATGCAAGATAGGAAGAATAATTTTTATTAAAGGGAAGGACAGTAGAGCTCTTGCAGGAAATTGTCTTGGATTTGGAGTCCAAGTGAAGCCTGAAGATGTGTTGTGCCTTGCCTGGCCTTGCTGTGCCTGCCGGCTGGGAAGGCAGAAGGAATGAGCAAAACTGCATGCTGAGTTCTGTTTGGCCTCAGTAAGTTAAAATCTGTAAAACCAGCATGCAGAATGAGTGGCTGTTTCTTCTCAATTTAATTCATTTTCTTCAGTTTAAGTGCAGGTTGTTCAACAATAAGGAGATATTGGAAGCTTTCTGTGAGGGAAAGCAAAATTATTTAAAATTTTGAGCTCAGTTGGTCAGCATTCCTTTTGGCTTAATATTCAGCGTTTCAATAAAGAGCTGAAAAATGTTTTTTGATAATTGTTTTGCAGCTATCCATTTCGAGTTGTTTTTCCTCCCCACATGTGGAAAATAGTACAAAGCATGGAGTTGCTGCAGCTCAGTGTCAGGAGATGGCTCGATCTTTAAGAAGCTGAGTTTAGCACAGACTAGATAGACATGGGGAGCAATCTTAGTGGGCAACTGCCTTGGAATGATGGACGTGTTGGAAGAAGTGCTGGAGAAAAGGGCAGTTTGGCCACAGCTGGGAATCCCAGCCCTGCAGGCTGGCTGTGGGCTCAGGTGTGATGTCCTTCTTCACTCAGCACAGTGGAAGTGCAGGGGTTGACCTGGGTCGTGGGGGGCTCGGACCACTCTTGTGCTGATATCCCGTTCTCCTCCACAGGCACGCTCTGAGGTGGTAAGTAACTCCAGTACATTTTGTGCCTGGTTTCAAAATAGTTTGGTAGGCATAAACTTTGAAATATGCATGCAAATTATGAACTTTCATTACTGTGCTGAGTGCTAGCCAAATCTTTTCACTTATATTGTTTTGCTTGTGACAAACAGTTGATTAATGATAATAAGAATATATTTTTCAGGGCAATAAAGTACATGGTGTTCAGTCGTCAAACCTGTTCTTTTTCTATTTTAGGGAGCCAAACGCTAAAATCTCCCTGCTTCTTTTAATGTAACTGGAGCATCAGGGCAGGATTCAGAAGTATGATAACTCATTCCCTGGGAATCCAGCTTGTGTGCCGAAGATGAATTCTTGACAGAGTGCAAATTTTGGGAGTAAAAAATAAACCTGCTAGACTTCCCAACTTTCCCTGTCACCATCCTTTTTACAGTGTGCTCTCCTGTGTTTTTGCTTTGAGTATTTCATGTCATCTTTAATAGTGCAGTAAGAAATGCCTGGGCATGCTGGGGTTCCCTGATGTTCCCTCCAAGCACCCACGTGTGGTGCTGGGGTTTGGGCTGCTCTCACTCCTCCAGGTGCTGTGCGTGGTGGGATTGGTAACTGGTGCAGGGATGAAACGTTGTTCCCTCTACATGTAGTCACTGCTTTTAATTTTAGTTGCCTTTATCTCCAAATTAAAGCTGCTCTGTTGAGTAATGCTTGTAATTAGATAAATTTATTCAGCAGTTCATAAAAATTCCTCGGGAACCACAGATGAGTTTCTAAAATTGCACACACAGCTTCAAAGTCCGTTTTGTTTCGGAATGATGTTCTGCATATGGCAGCAGTGCTTTGTGTGTGTTTTCCCTTTTTTGAACTCCTCTGTGCCAGTGGTGTTTTTCTCCTATCTGTGGTGCTGCAGTCACTGTGCTGCTCCTTTGGCCCTGACGAGGAATGGGAGCTGGGGGGAGACTGACTGGGAAAGGGAGAAGAAATCCTGCCCACCATTTATTCATTTTCTCAAAAAAAGGAACCTTCTGGGCTTTGGTGGAAATGATTCCCCATTGCTGGTGCTGTGTGTAAGGTCTGTCTCATTTACAAGCTCTGCTGCCAGAATTAATCACTTTGTTTAGAGACCTTTGGCGTGAGCATTGTTAAAATAATTGACGTGTGTTCTGCTTTTCCCTTCAGCTCCAGTTCAGACATCTTGAGAGATCTGGAAGCTGAGATTTGTTCGGTGCCCTCTGACAGGTAGGTAGAAACAGACGGGGGGAAAAGTACTTGAGGCTGATTTGAAGGCTCTTCTGTTTTGCTGAATCCTACATGTTTTCTGCAAGAGAGGCAAATGCCATTAAAACATCAGGTTTGGTGAGAGCCTCCACAGTTATTGGGGGCAAAACTTCTACAGTGTTGTTGGTTTGCCGGAAAATAATGCATGGGTGCCCCTAGAATCCCCAGATGAGTGGCTGAAAATCATTGTTCCAAAGTGTACATTGAGTATGGATGCATACTTAAACAAAAAACCAACAAAACAAACACAGTTTTATGGGAAAACAAGAGACTAAATACAATAGAAAATTAGTGTTAGGTTGTTGCCAGTCCTCACCTGTATCTCTGTGTCTAATTGAACGTCCTGGAATTGCAGCGTTTGCTTTGGTTGACTTCTGTTAGGAGAGAGAAAAGCACATTCTTGTTTCTAGAACCTAATGTCATCTTTTCAAAGAACAAAAATCCCCTTCTGTTATTGGTAAGATTTAAAGTTTGTGTCTGGCTGTGCAAGGTGTTCTGTAAAGAAATGCTGCAAAATCATCCAATGATTCCTGAAGAAAAGCAGTGAAATGCATGAAGGTGGAGAGCAATTGTTGGACTATCTGGGGATGCTGAGGGTGTGCAGGTATAGTGAGATTTATAGCAGTGCAGTGTTAGATGAACTGAAAAGCTTTGCAGGTATTGTACAAAGAAACAGGAATGAAGACTGATTGCATCTGTGACTTCTTGCATGCGTTAGCAAATTGTGTTCATTAGTGCAAGAAGAAATAGGAATGTCAAGTGTGGAAGCTGGATTCCCTAATGGGGCGTTTCTCTTTAGCAGTATTGGATGTTAATGTTAGTTATAATATATCCAGAGCAAAAATAATTTGTTACTTTGATGGTTTCCTTCACTCAGAAAATCTCAGTCTTTTGGTTGTTTTATTTGCGTGGTACCAAGTTTTGGCCAGGTTGGCAAGTGCACAAGAATATTAATTAAGTCAGGTCTATGCATTTCATTACAGCTATATTGCTCTTCATTCCAGAATTGTGTCCTGCTGTTTGCAGCAGGGGAGAGCTTTGCTTTGGTAAGCTCAGTACCTGTGAAGGCGTAGGCCAGCACAAAAACATTTCATAACCAGCACAGATTTTTGGTTTTGGGGCTGATCATCTCTCTGTTTTTGTTATGGCTGATGATTGGGTATTTGCAAAGCAAGTGATATGGAAATTTCAGCTTTTGACATATTTCAGTACATAAGATAATTAACATTATGCTTTGGAAATAATTTAGGATGGCCTGTATTTGGCCTAGGTTCAAATGTCAATTTCTTGGTGAAGGGAACACTTCTAAATAGTGCTGTGTCCAGACTTCTGCATCCTTTTATATCCGTAATTCCACATGACATTATTTGGTATTTGGGCATGAGGGCTGAAAACATTGCTGTGTGCAGCCCTAGAGGATCTCACTTTAGAGATGGGCACTATGCTGAGGACAGGTCTAGCTATGAAATTCAGTGGGCTTCTCTCAGGACAAGACTGCAGAAGAGTCTCTGTTCAGAGATGGATGTGATGAGGCAGAGTACATTTGTCTACGCTAACAATATAAGTCCATATTATTGCTCTTCTGCAGGATTTCTGTGTTAACTGAAGTGGAGGAAATAGTTCTTCATGAGCATTACTTGCTTTTGCCAAATGTGATTTTTCAGTACTTTTAAAACTATGTCGTCTGTTTCATGTTTCTCACAGATGGGATTCACAAGATTTAGGGTCTCTTGTGTCTCTGGAAGGGTTAAGCTCAAGTTGAAGCTCCGGGGGAAGCAGTCTGCAGGGGCTGCTCAGCAGTCAGAGTGGTCACTGGTTCTGGTTGAGTGTGGCTGGGGAATGCGCTCCCGGGGGCAGGGAAGCAGAGCACTGTGCAGTGGGGCAGGGAGCAGCTGTGTGTGCTGCCAGCTGCACCACGGGCTGCTTTGGTGAGCTGCAGGTTTCTTATGGTTTCACAGTGCAAGTCTCTAAAAGAGAATTCAATGCTATTTAAAAAAAGAAAAGCTTCAAACTTTCAAACTTGTGCGAATGCTTTGCTCTCCCTAAGCAGGTGAGGAGGTGGCAGCAGTGATGTGGTGTGTTTGGACCTCAGCTTCTGTGCCTGCAGTTCCCAAAGCAGCCTTCCCAGTGCTTAGCGTCAGGCTGAGGTTGAGCAGAGCAGCTCTGCCTGCAGCACATCTCAAGGTGTTGGAAAAGTTGAACTGCAGCATGCTGTGCCTTTTGGAGATGGTGATCTGCTGAGCCTTAATTTCCATGATAGATCTAATAAAGAAGCAATAAATATTCATATTCTGCGTTTAGAGTGGATTGTCTATTTTATGAAGCGCGTAATGAAAATTGAGGCATTACTTAAATTCCCTGGAGTCATCTTTCATCTCTGCTAATTGTCTTATTTTGACACAAAGAGATTAGACAGTAATACTCAAAAAATAAACCCGAGTATTTTTCTGTGTCATACTTGCCATTTGTTTGTGACAGTGCACGGATGGAGCAGATTTGGGATATTTTAGTGGCAATTTGCTGCATATTTTTAGCAAAACATCATTCCATTCCTGAAACTAACTTAAGCACGATTTAAGCATTCTCTGAGCTCTCAAAATTTTTTTCCTTGCTTTTCATATCCTCTGTTAAGTAACAAATCCGTTTGCTGTGGTATAATGCTATTGGGACTACATAAATTCATATTACTCTATCTGATGAAAGTGAGGCAGCGTTTCAGGCTCTCAGTAACCTCTTGGTGACCATTTAATGAAAGCCTTATGGTTCCGTGATGTGTGTGGCAAGTAGTGTGCGAGTGCTGAGCTGCAGGGATTGCTCAGCTCTGTGGGAAGCATCGGATCTGAAGGCCTAGAAATTGGTGTGAGGTTGATGAAAGGCTTCTGTGGTGACTTCACCATTCACACCTTAGCTAAGTTCTGCTGGAGAGCTGGCAGTGAGATTTTGGGGAGTAAGCTGGTGGATGTATTTCCTATAGGAGTGCAATGTGAAATAAAGAAAAGGATAAAAGGATGATGGATCTTTAATTGTGCGTAGTTGCAGTAAAATATCTTGCCTACCTCACAATATACTTCAGTGTTCTGAGAAACAAGCTCATCTCATTCTGAAAGAAAGGGGGCTTTCCTGTTTCTTCTCCCTCCGTCTCAGGTGTCGGATGCCAGAAGTTGGAGCTGTGTCCTTGCCCAACCACATTACAAAGTGAACCAACGGTATGGGAAGGGAGCTGCCTTTCCCAAGGATCCAAATGTGCACGTTGCTGTGGAAGGTCAGCCATGCTTGCTTTGTGCTTTCACTGTTGGTGGCACTGTGCCACGTGGCCAGCAGATCAAAGCTGAAGAGTACAAAAATCTCTGACCTATGAAATGAACGTAAACCGAAGGAGCGGCTGGCAGCCCTGGTCCCCGCACAGTGGCAGTGCCCTGCCTGGGGGTGGAGGTGTTCTGTTGGAACGAGTGCCTGCTCAGCTCAAGAGGACCTGTGATCTGTGTCTGCTGCTGTGCTCCTTCACCCAGGCCTGGCCCTGCAGAACGAGCACTGCAGGCACATCCCTGTGGTGCCCTCTGCCTCCTGCTCCCCACGTTGGGTCGCATACCTGAGCCTTGCCTGTTTTTCCCATCAGCCACGCTCCTTATTGGTCTGTGCTGGTGGTCACGATGTTTTTGCAGAGCTGTTGGCAGACAAATGGTCTTAAGTTCTAGTTCAGAAATGGTGTGGAGGGCTTTAGTCCTTCAGACTCAGTTTCTGATGAAGCAAGTATCTTTGTACAGGTATGTGTTAGCAGCAGGGCCATGGACACCTGAATTGCATGTGACCTGCTGTGGGATGCAGTTATGTATCTGAACTCATCTGTTCCCTTCAGGGTTTTGCTGGCATGCAGGGTTATACAAATGTCAATGGCTTTGCAGAGTCGTGGCTTGAGAAGCATTTAATAATGTACTGACAGAGACCCTGTGTGCAGAAGTTGCCTTATTAGACAAAACCTCTAAGCAATGATTGCTTGTTTACCAGGGTATCTTTGGATGACATTGTCTTTCTTTCCAGTTTCAGTGCTGTTTCCGTGCAGTGATTGCACTGCAGTGCTTTCTCAGCAATGCTACTTGTTCTGTATGCAAAGATGTACGTGGGCAGTTGAGTTGGAAACAGGTTTTAGAGTCCCCAGGTTTCACCCAGCCCTGTGCTGACCCTGGATCCCATCTGCTGACAAGTGAAGCTGTTGCTTAGAAAGCATTAGTTCTTGGCTTATTTATTTCTGCAGGGTTTGGGAAGGCAGACTGTAGGAGTGTAGCACTGGGTACTGCAGCAAGTCGCAGAGCCGTTGTGTGGCACTGCTTCGTGTTGCTCAGTGTTCCCAGGGCTCCACCATTCTGTTCTCCTAAACCTGCATAATGGTGGCTCCTGTGAGCAGCGCCAGCTGAGACAGAGGGCACTGTGTGTGCAGGCTGGCTGCAATCAGCTGGTCTGGGGTGGTTTCTGTGACCAATGCCATCTCTGGAGTAGTGCTAGCTCTAGGTTACTGTAAGTCACTTTGTCAACCTCCGTTGTTATTTTTCTGAGTTTTCTTGGTGGGTTTTTATTTGAATTTACTTAGAAAATAGTTAATCGCTCTCTTAATTCAATGCTAACTTTTAGTGTTTGTAACCTATCTTCAGTTCAGTGAAACAAAGGTAGAAAACATGAGGCTTCCTTATAAAACAAAATCTGGACAAGGATGACGCAAAAGTGATGTCTGCTGGGTTATCTGAGAGTGCTGACATCCTTCCGTGTGTAGGCACTATATGTGAGTAAAAAGCAAAACCCGTTGTTCTCAAGAGCTTTAGGCTTAGAGGTAATTATTTTGTTATTGGGTGTTTGGTGTTGAAGACACGGGAGGTTCTGCAGAGGGTTCATCATAGCCTTTGGGGATGTTGGGACATGCTTTGTGATAGTATTGTCCAGATGTAGTAGGTAAATGAAGCTCGGGCTCATTGTGGAGCCCATAATCTGAAGCGCACCAAGTCAGTGAAGAAAATGGAAAGCAATACCAAGAGGCTGGAAGGATAATTGAGTAGCAAATCAAATGAGCAATCATAGTAGAAAATCAAATTGCTTGGCTGCCGGTGCGGCCGTGCTGCTTGTCGGAGCTGCTCGCGAGCAGAGCAGGCAGGGAATCGTGCCGTCGGCTCCGCTGTGCTCTGCAGTGCGGCGTGCGTTGCAGGTGGGCAGGAGGAAGCGTGGGGAGCTGCTGGAGGCTCTGGGGTGCACGTTGTTCCTGATCCGTGCGTGTGTGCTCCTTGCTGCTGCCAACGGGGAAACGACTGCAGCGTTCGAGTTCCTTAGAATCACGAGGTTGGAAAGGACCTACGAGAGCACCTGCTTGAAACCGTGCTGCTATCACCATCACTACCCACTGAGCTACTGAGCTGTGTCTCATAGCACCTCATCCAGACTCTTATCCAGATTTCATCTTATTTCCAGTTGTGAATTTCCTGTTTAAGCTGAGTGAATAGTAGGGTAGATTCATCCTAGCAAACGGCTTTTGAAAAAATGTGTTTATGAAGAATGTTTAATTAGTAATGGCTGTTGATGGGCAGAGCAGTATCTTTCACGTTGACTCTATGTGTGTTCCAAGCTCAAAGCAGGTTGATGGAAATTAGCTGTATAATTTAAATAAGGCTAGCTTAACTTTTTTTTTTTTCCCCTTTAAAATTAGCTGTAACTGAAATGAAAACACTTCTTTGAGCTTCCAGTGACATTCGTTGTCCGTAATGGGAAGAGCCTCAGGTGAAGGGTTGCAGCTGGAAGGTGGGAGCCCCACGTGTTGTCCTGGTGGGACAGCCACCCCACAGCTGCTGTCCCTCCTCTTGGTGGCTGTGCTGTGCATGACTGTTCCATGCACACCTTTGCTGATGTCACGTGAGTGTGCCAGCACTGGAGGCTGTGGGTGAAGTACTGGGAAGGCTGTTTTTCCTTCATCTCAGTTCCAGGACAGAGCTGGGCAGTGCTGGACGTGTCTGTGCCCATGGGGTTTGTGGGTACTGCTACCCTCAGACACGGGGATGGAGCGTGCTTCTGTTCATGCCCCAGAGGGATTGTGTGCTGTGGGTACTGTGCACCCAGTGCCTGCTGTGCCTTTGTACAGCCTTCAGCATCTGCCTGTTCAGAGCACCTTGGAAACCCTTTTTTCCGCTTTTTTTTCCAGCAACTGTCTTCTGGACCTGAGAACTAGCAAGAGGAAGGCGTGCCAGTCCCAGCTGCCAGGAGGGGATCGACTGCTTCCCAGGAGCAAGAGGAAGAAGAGCTGATGCTGTGGGGCCACTGGGCTTAGGTAGTGCAGAAGGCTTAAGGCTGAGAAGTGCTTCTTAGACTTCTCCTGCTTGCAGTGTATCAGGGTACTTAATAAGGTGTTGAATTCTTGCATAACTGCCAGTCAGGCTGCCTTAAAATAACCAAGTGAGTGCACAGGCACTTTGTGTTTGCAGCACTGTGCCCCATAACTCTAATGCTGCTGGGGTGCTGGGTGAGCCCTCCTGCAGCCAAGCAGTGGTTCTGTGTGGCACTGCAGCCCTGCCCTGCTCACATGTGCAGTGCCTGCAGTGTGGGCTTTGCAGGCCGTGGTTGCATGGAAACCCTTCCCCCCTTTGAGCACCACACTAGAAGGGCAATAGATTTGTTTGATTTGGTGTAATTTGGTTTTCTGCTAGTGAAATAAACTGTAAACTCAAACTGCAGAAATGCGCTGGTTTTGAATACATCCTTGGAAGCATGTTCATTAGCAGGTGTTGCTATTTCAGCTTTGTATTATAGCTGAAATAAATTGGAAGGTTTTGAGCCTTCTGCCCTTTAAAATAAATAAGCAGGTGGGAGCAGCACTGTGCTTCTGGAAGTACTGCATGTAGTGTGGAAGCGAGAGGTGCCTGGAAGAACTGTGTCTGTGGCAAGTGTGGGGTGATGCCTCTGTGGGATGGAGGAGATGCAGAGGGAAAAATAGGGAGCAGATTTTTTTTGTTTGGTTGGCTGTCAGTAAGACCATGCCTTCTGAAAGAGAGCAAATATTGACTTGTGCTTTTAGGGCCACCTTTAAATCATAGTAATCCATGATGAACAGAAAAATACTGTGTGCACTTTGCCAGAGAAGAGTAGGAATGTATGTAATGGTCAGTGTCAGACTCACTGCAGCAGGTCAGCTTCCATCCTCTGCTGTGCATCCCAGGTCTTTATCATTATGGTTTGATTGTATTTGAGTTAACAGTAATTCATTTTCTTGGTGATATTCATTGTCATGCACAAAACATCCTCAAAAAACTCTTGTGA